CATTGCGCGAATAGCCGTGTCGCCCCCCTGATACATACCAAATTTCAGATCGCTATCTCGTTTTTTGGCCAAGCTATAGCGAAAAAACTGTTCAAAAAGGATGACGTCAAATTTTGAACTCAATTTTTAGCGATTCTAGACCACCTAGGGCAAGCTGGCCCCGAAGCTGGCCCCGAAGGCTGCCTGACCCACATAATCGCATTTGTCATGTAAAATGGACCATAAAACATGTATTACACGACACTTTCATATTGTGACCCCCCAGTGACCTGACCTCTGTGACCTGACCTGGTATCAGTGACCTCAAATAGCAAAATATGTGTTTGAAGAACATTTCCCCATCGATGATTTTCAATGAAATGCATTTTACTCGATTTTACAACGCATTTCTTGAAATGCCTGTAAACGGTGAAAATTCGATCTTTGACCTGACCTGTGACGTCATGGGTTTGACCTAGGTCAATAAAATTGGGTCACAAGGTAGTTCCCTGGTAGGGTTATCCAACACCGTTTGCCGCTTGTCGCTAGGTTGCGTGGTTCTCGAGATCTTAGGGGGGGCAATTTGCCCCCCCCCCCCCCCCAACAGGGCGCGTTGCTCGGCAGAGCCCAACGGGGCGCGGGACATCTGTCATTTGTTTCGTTGCAATTTTTTTTCTTTAACTGATGCGAGTCTTGTCCCCTTACATAGATAGGTATGTACGTACAGTCACCAGCAGTTGCTACCCATCACCCTCGGACGGCGGGGGAGCAAGCTACCACCGCCCCTGCGAGACTAGCGCCGCCATGCGCCAAGAAGTGGAAACACCACGTGACTGAGGCCACGTGAGGGCAGGGTCACGTGATGGAGGGGCGGAGCATAGTAGCTTTTGCGCCCGACACTAACTGAAATGCGGCGCTGTGATTGGGCGCCTTAGCATGAATGAAGCCCCGGCGCCAGAATCAGCCGTTCGCCTTATATGGAAAGTGAGCCTTTGCGTTTCACTGTTCTGTATTGGTTTGAGAGCCACGGCACCATACGAATTGTGAGCCCCTTTGAACGGGTCACCGCCCGAGGCACTGAGGCGACGGCTGTGCCGGGCAAAGTCTAGCCTGGTGGGAGAGGTGGGCCAGGGAAAGTGCGATCGAGCAGCCACTGGGACGTGGATTGGTATTATCCAACCGCGACAAACGATGTCAGTAGCCTCTTCTCGTGTCATAGACAGTGTCTATGACACGAAAAGCTAGACAATGTGGACAGTGCCCAATCAAAAGCTACTAGACGATCCAGTTAAGGAGTTGGCAAGGTAGCCAGACCAAATAAAAAGTTTTTAATTCGATTTTGGTTGACAAATGACATACAAGCCCGCTGTGATGGACCAAAAAAGGAGCTGAACAGTTCATACAACTTCTAAAAAGCTCAACGGTTTAAAAATTCAAAAGTTAAATGTTAAAATTCAGCCTGCATGTAACATTATTAAACTCTGGTCCGGCGCTGGCAGGAAGCTTATATTGCCGCTTGCAATTCCACTACGTTGTAATATAACCAATTGTTCTGTGAGAGCAGCAACTGAAAGCCCCGTTGAGGGGGAGGGCGGCGCAAAACGATCCCCTCTCTCCTTTTAAGTCGATATCTCCTAAAGTATAGCAAATGTCGGCACCAAACTTTCAAGACCCCTCCGGGCATCATTTTTACACCTTGTGACCAAATTTTCCAGAGCTCTTATGAAAGGTTAGTCACAAATGACGTCAGAGGGATGCCATGTTTTGTCATTTTCGACCCAATAAAAGATTTAGCGGGGAGAGCTTTCACGCTACAGTTTTGAAGATAACAAAAAATATTCAAGATCAGAAAGATGTAAAATAAACAGCGCTACCGAACTGCTAACTCTTATCTCTAAACAAAAATTGATTTTGACCATCAAAACTATAGAAGTATAACACCCCGAAAATACCAACAACTTTCAAAATTAAAACTGAAATATATGTTATAGAACTATCTGCTCTAGATATTCCAAACTTAAACTCGATAGCTCCATTTTTAGCAAAGTTATGGCAAGAAAGCTACTCAAAATTTATTACGTAAAATTTTCAAATTCAATTTTTAGCCGTCACAGAACACACAAAGCAAGCCAAAGACTACCTATTGGATTTCCTGTGATTAGTTGCATCGAATAGATACCCCTTTTATGCAAAATATCAACTTTGAAATTTGACCTTCTTTGACCTGACCTTGACCTGACCTCCACTCACACCGTCTACGGCCGTCTAGCTCACACCATTGAATTTTAAATGTAAAATTGGCCATAAAACATGTATCACACGACCCTAGCATAGTTGGGTTCATATTGTGACCCTAAGTGACCTGACCTCTGTGAACTGACCTGGCATCAATGACATCTTTAGGCAGCATATGTATTAGACAACCAACGCTCCATCGATGTTTTTTCGATAGCATGCGTTTTATTTGATGTGTTAACTGACTGTAACGCATTCCTTAGACTAAATCGGTGAAAACAATGCGACCTTTGACCTGACTTGTGACGTCATGGGTTGCACCTAGGTCAACGAAACCCGGTAACATGGTAGTTCCCTGGCGGGGCTATCGAACGCTCTTTGAATGTTTAAAATCGGTCGGTAACTTTCCGAGATCTCAGGTGGAGGGCGAAACGGCTGCACCACCCGATCAGGTGGTAGGGTCCGCCAATAGCCCAAGGGGGCGCGGAATATTTATTCACTCATACAGTGTCATTTATTTTGAGAGCACCTTTCTCACGCCATGACAAGGCCCTCTCGTAATAGAACGAAATGAGGAGGGTGTTTTCACGCCTCCTTTTGCACGGCTCTAAGTGTCATTGAGCTATCAACTGTCAGCGGTTTTCGGACAATGAAGTTCTTAGTTCTTACTGAATCCAATTTTATTTCAGACGATTGTCACTGTGCTAGTTTTCACTGTGCTGCGTAACGGGGAGAGCACCGGGACACCGTGCCCCCTCTGATTTTGGCGTTTCTTCATTAGCCCTATGAGCGTTGCATGGAAATAATAGGGCCAAAAGTCGGCAGTGCCCCCCCCCCCCTTAATTGAAGGTGTTCCGCCGCTACTGCATCCCGTCAACGTGGGTTTATCATAAGGATGCTAAGATTTAATTTCCGATCCGAAGCTGTAACGATGGAAAGCAAATTTGCATTTTACATGTGAAACAAGCTGACACAACTAAATATTTCCTCTCTCGCTCCCTCTCACTGATTTACCAATTGCCCTCTTTCTCATTTTACCCTCTCTGGTTTTCCTTTTCAGTTTTCTCTCTCTCTCTCTCTCTCTCTCTCTCTCTCTCTCTCTCTCTCTCTCTCTCTCTCTCTCTCTCTCTCTCTCTCTCTCTCTCTCTCTCTCTCTCTCTCTCTGTCTCTGTCTCTGTCTCTGTCTCTGTCTCTGTCTCTGTCTCTGTCTCTGTCTCTGTCTCTGTCTCTCTCTCTCTCTCTCTCTCTCTCTCTCTCTCTCTCTCTCTCTCTCTCTCTCTCTCTCTCTCTTCTCTCTCTCTCTCTTTCTCTCTCTCTCGCTCTCTCTCTCTCTGTCTCTCTGTCTCTCTCTCGCTCTCTCTGTCTGTCTCTCTCTCTCTCTCTCTCTCTCTCTCTCTCTCTCTCTCTCTCTCTCTCTCTCTCTCTCTCTCTCTCTCTCTCTCTCTCTCTCTGTCTCTCGCTCTCTTTCTCTCGCTCTGTCTCTCGCTCTCTCTCTCTCTCTCGCTCTCCCCTCTCTCGCTCTCCCTCTCTCGCTCTCGCTCTCTCCCTCTCTCTCTTTCTTTCTCTCTCTCTCTCTCTCTCTCTCTCTCTCTCTCTCTCTCTCTCTCTCTCTCTCTTTCCCTCTCTTTTTCTCTCTTTCTCTCTCTCCCTCTCTCTTTCTCTCTCTTTCTCTCTCCAGCTCTCTCCTCTCTCTTTCTCTCTCTCCCCTCTCTCTTCCTCTCTCTCTCTCCCTCTCCATCTCCCTCACTCTCTCTCTTTCCTCACAATATTCTCGACTGCCACAGCGTTGTAGAACTTGTTTCCAGACAGGTCCAGGCGCTCCCACTCCGCAGGCCCCAGCCCACACGGCCCAACCGCTCAAACACCCTCCGGCGGATGACCTCTGACCTCGGCGACCTGACCCCAGCCGACCGATCGCGTCCCTCTCCACGCCTCCGCCCCGCTTCCCCCACTACAGCTGCGTAGTAATTGTAGCGTGTGCAAAGGTCACGTGACATTATTTACTTCTGCGGCTTGTTCGGCTGACAAGAGATGGCACTAGTGGTCTGTGGATCAGAGGCGGGACTAGGTTCTACGACTTCTTGGGGCACACTTTAGGGCAGAAAAGAGGTTTTTTGGCTCCCCATCCCAAAATGCTTCGAATATACAAAAACAAGTTAGATATTCGAAAATCGGAGGACCAAACGGATCGTTTGACGTATCTTGCGCGACTGAGAATTGATCGGTCTTTAAACTACTGAACAAAAACGAGGTGATTAGTAGCAAGTGCTGGTGACTGTACATGCGTACATATCTAGTATCTACATGCTGTAGCCTGTAGAGTGTAGGTGATGCTGGGCACATTAGACCGTTACGATGGCGCTCCTTTCTCACGTGCGCTCATTTACCCGCCCTGACCGGATGTGTCAAATAATTGATGTCCCTCATTATCGGGTGTCCAGGGGCCGCGGAGGACGCGGGCGGGTCAAGGCTGCCTCCACCCTACCCACGCCTTCATCAAATAGGCAGCAGGTCTCTACCGGCGGCGGCGGTGCGGCGCCCCTCCCCTGCACGCATGTTTCACCCGAGTCTCCTGGGCGACCCGCGGCAGTTAGCGGCGCCGGGTAAATACACCACCGGCGGCCAAACGGCCCCCGCCCGCCCGGCAGCCGTCCGCCGCCCGTGGGCTGCGGCTCGGCGGGTTTGTGGCCGCAGCGCCGTGAGCCGTCGACGACCCCCCCCCCCCCGTCTGCCCCCTCCCTGCTGTCGGCGGTGTCTGACGGTGCCCCGCCGTGTGTGGCCGGCAGGACGCGGCCCGGTCCTGGTGCACGTGCCGTTCCCGTCACCGCCGTCGGCCGACTCCGTCTCGGCGTCACACTGGTTCCCGCGCAGCTGCCGAACAGGGTCGATGATCGACCAACCCGCCGGCGCCGGCGGCACAGCGGCCGTCCAGGCACCCGGCCGGCACACCCGCCTGCGGTCGGCCCCCAGAAGTCGCAGTTTATTTTGCCCGCTTTGTGTGTTTGAATTGGTTTCAGTTGCGATGACAGACGTGCTCTTGTCTTTCCCGTGTGCGCGGGCGGCCTCTGCCGCCTGTGCTATCCGAGGAGCCGATTCGTGCCTTCGTCTGCGTTGTCCTGCGTTGCGTGGTGATTGATTGCGTAATGCTTCAATTGAGCAGTGCACATGTGTTGGCAGTGTTGAGTTGTTCTTACTGTGGCCGATTGCCGAGCTGTAGGAGCGTTTTTAGATGAGCTTCTCTTCTCGAAAAGACTAAGAGTGTCGCTAGTCACGAAAAGTAGACATCGTAAGGGTATCTCCATCATTACATCTGCACTTGTGCTTAAATGAATACAATTGAGGTTTGAACGCTGCTACATTTGCATGTAAATGAAGATATTATGTAGCGGCTAGAAGTGTTATGATACCGTCAGACGTTTCAGAACTGTGCGGTGCGGTAGTGTGTCATTGATACCTATAAGCTTTTGGAGTTTCTTGTTTTACTTTAAAGAATAAAGGACAAGATCGCGTTCGTGATGCCAATTGTGTTGTGTTTTCTGTCGTGTGAACGCACGGTTCTCGTGTCCATCTGTCATTGTACATACTGTTCCATACTGCACCCATCCGACGTCTGACACATTGACGGTGAACTGTAAATTATTACTTTGATAGCTGTCCCCCGGTATTCGTTCGTCGTCGATCAGTTCTCGGCGCGCGTCTGACCTTCGGGCGGCGCGTCGTGGAGCCGTTCCGGCGGCGCTGGGCTCCTCCGGACGCTGCCGACGACTGTCGATACACGCCGCGCGACGCAGCGATGATTGCATCGATTCCGACCAGACTTACAGCGTGGCAAATCGAACTGTTTGAACGCTGAAACTGGCCCACTGTATTTTTAGTGCCTCGCTGACGAGCAAATAACCTGCGGCGCCGCCACATGAAGCGGTCGATCGGGGTTCTGCGACCGCCGCGACGACCAGTCGACGGCCGTTTGTCCTAGATTGCCTTCGAGGGGCGTACACAGCTTGTGCACCAACACCAATGCTGCGTGCATAAATTACGTATCGCGATGGCCTCTATGCAATGTTTCAATGTGCTAAGCTTAGATAAGGGTGACGAGACCTTTTCTGGGAAATAATATGTAGCAGTTTAGCATGTCTTCATGCATTCTGTCGCACCGTAGTGAAACTCTGTACATAGTGAAACGTCAAGCGATGAACACTCCGATCCTTAGTATACTGTACGCCAATGAGGCCTGCAACCCCTTTAAACGGCCTGGAGGGACGATGAACTTTTAACGGTGTTTTACATACTGTCAGAATTAGAACTCGGAGGGGCACGAGGTCATGACTCCGTTATCCGGCATCATGTGATCCCTCCCGTTGCCGCAGATACCAGTGTCTGTCCCCTGACGATATGAGCGAGCTGAGGTGGTGCGTGCCAATGTTAGAGCGAACAGTAAACATGCTCGCCGGTCTGCAACGTGCGTGCACGCTGCAGGATCGGTCCCGTTTCCGCACAGCCGCCGCTGACAGGTTCTGTTTCCGATCAACGCGCCGACATAATGCTAAAACTGAGCTGAGCGAACAACGTACGATGGTCGTACGTGTGAACTCATTTTGACCTCGAAGCCCTGTGTAAACTGAAAAGTTCGGTCCGAAATAGAAGTTAGTTTACGCGCGCAGCCTTGGGAAGAAGTCGCTGGTTACATAAAACATTGGTGAGACACGTCGTCGATAACTTCACGGTGACTATAAATAGATAACTTTAAGCACCGAGTTCCATACAAAAAAATTAAGTACGGCGACATCTGCCAGACGAAGTTGATTGTCGGGACTTCGTTTCTCTCGTTTCTCTACTTTTGCTAATGCTATCATTGAAGTGACGTTCAAAATGGCCCCGCCCCGCCCCGCCCGACCGTAGACCTGATCAATTCAATCTTACAAGAAGAAAGTATATAGTTAGGAAGTCCCAAGGTATTGTGCCCACTTCCTATATATCGTGCCCTTTGTATCGTGGAAGCCGGAAGGTGAAGGCGGGGTGGAACACCTGCGGGTCTTATGAGAGGGTGGCGGCCACTTGTGACGGCGCTGCTTTTCACGGAAGCAGCCCCCAGGCCCACACTATAGTCTATAGCAGCTTGTTGCAACTCAATGCGTAAGTACTTAAGTAGGTAAATCTGCTTCTGATGACTATGTGAATGTTGTCTTCTCCTCATGCAGAACGTCCCAACGATGTGATTTAGCAATAGGTAGGTACCTTCATGATACGCAAAAGCAGTCTGCACACCGCCGCGCCGTCGCGGTCGCGTCGTGACGTTGGACGTTGGCGATTGCTAGCGCGGTGCATAATGGTTTTCGTTTGGCTGCAAAAGGCAAAGTTTTGAATTTAGATGGATATTTGCATGTACAGACAATTTAGTTGTTTGCTCAACTTACGTCAGAAAAGATCAGGCTCTGGCCGGATTCGATGTCTCCCGGACGATGAAGATTCTACAAGCTACGTCGTCCGGCCGATGCATACCGTTCGATGTCGGCGGGGGCTTGGCTGCGGCTCGATATCGGCGGAGGTTTGGTTTGGCATGGCCTTGGCTGCTGATACCGAACTGATTCACTCAATATACCCTGGATACCGAATGCCATTGGCCGGACGACTTAGATCGTCGTCCGGCAGACATAAATCCGGCCTCCGGTATATGGGGCCTTGCCGGCATCGGTGTTCAAAGATCAGACAGCTTTACTCGATTTAGCGTTTGCGCTCTTATACGGTCTTGGTTTGCGATTAGTTGGGCTTATATTTGTAACCAGCAAGCAGTACCTTATCAAAAATGATGCATCAAAATAACTTGGCTTTTGTCGTCACCATGGCGCAAAAGAGACAAACACAACGCGGCTCTGAGGTAAGCGCGTCTTTCTCTTTAATTTACTTTATTTTTATTTTTAGTTAGTGTAGTTTGACCAATCACTAACATCTAACTACGGCAATACCAACCTAAACTGATAAATCCTAACTGGACAAATCCTGGCAACGCATTTCCTTGTCCCATGGATCGCTTAGTTCCATTCCCTGGCCATGACAAGAAGGAAGAGAAGATGTGAAGACAACTTCTGGACGCTCTGAGCCCAAGAGGCTATGCGCCCTACACCAAAACAACAACAACAGCGCGTGGTGAACACTCTTGCTTCAGATTTCTTGCGGGGAGGACGTGGCAAGAACAGCTGATTGACTTTCTAGTGGTGACGTGGCGGTGGAAGACATCTTGGATTTTTGAGTTTTTGGTTTCAGTTTTGTTTAATTTCAATTCGTTCATCATTTATAAAATCCCAGTGCAAAACGGTATGTAAAATGAAGCCGGGAAGGCCCGGTAAACGGGTGAGGGCTGATGAATCCTTTTTCGATCAAGGAAACAATGAAAACTCCGGGTCGTACCTCAAAATCAAACTCCTCTCCGGGAAAACACTTAAATCCAGAGGCTGGCCATGGGTGCAGTTAGGTGTTAGAGGTGTCCTGGGGGATGTTGACAAGTTGGAAAAGGCTAGTTTTTTTACTGATGGATCCTTGCTCGTCAAAACGAAACATGCTCTCCAAACTGAAAAGTTTCTGAAAGCTAGGAAATTTGCAAATGAGGACTGTGAAGTATTGAAAGATGAAAGGCTGAACACATCACGGGGCACTATTCGTGCATATGACTTAGAAGAACTTAGCGAGGACGAGGTGGTCCAGTGGCTAAAGGACTTTGGGGTTGTTGGAGCAAAGCGCTTCACCAGGAAAGTGAATGGACAAACACAAGGGACCCCAACCCTGCTACTTACCTTTGACAGACCATCCTGCCCAACTAAACTGCAAATGGACTATGTGACATACCACGTGCACACATATATACCAAACCCCCTGCTGTGCTACCGGTGCGGCAAATTTGGGCATGCTCAGGAGCGATGCACTAAAGACAAGGTATGTCTAAACTGTGGACAAATGCCTCATGAGGGAGAATGCACGCCCCAGTGCATCAACTGCCGACGCACTGATCATGGGTGTCAATCTCATGACTGTGAAACATGGCAGAAAGAGAAAGAAATATGTAGGATCAAAGTGGAAGAGGAGGTATCTTTCAGCCAAGCCAGGAAACTGTATGATGACCGCCATGAGCCCCCTGTTCTCAGAAATTATGCTGCCACTGTGCGCACTCCACATATTACTGGTAGGCAGGAGGATGAGGAGTTGAAAGGAAAGGTAGAAAAGCTAGAGAAGAAGGTAGATGAGATGATGACATTGCTCAAAAAACTGACTGAGACGCAGATCACAGAAAGTACCTCTAAAGGTGCTGCTAGTACAACAGACACAGTACGTGTAAAGAAAACCCAGAGGGATGTATTACAGAGATCGAGAGGTGATGAGACAATGGGAGATGCTACAACAGACAGTGATGAAGGGGAGGTGAATGATACGAGGAAAACTCATGAAATTACGCAACCCATGGAAAGAGATGAGGGAGACGAAATGATTCAGACATGTGACTTGACACAGACAATAGACACAGTGAAAAAGACCAAAGATGCTGCCAAATGGCAGACTGTACAAAGGCAAAAGGGTTTAGGACGAGGAAAAGGCAAAACCAAACCACAGGTATCTGCTTGTCCAGATACCATCCCCCCCCGCTCCCCCGCTTGTGAGAGCAGGCGTATCCAATGAAAGAGCAGGGGACAAACCCATGACAAGAAAGCAGTCATGGGTAGATATTTCACAAGCGGCATCAGACAACTGATTAGAGTGAACAGTATATTCACTAGTAGCTAGTTAGTTTTTCTTTTCTTTTTTTTTCAAAAAAAAAACAAACAAAACAAAACAAAACAAAAAACAAAAAAACAAAACAAAAAAAAAAACAAAAAAAAACTTCTCTAAACTCTAGAGGCAGACACATACTACACCATGGTGAAAATAATGCAATGGAATTGTAGAGCATTGATTGGAAAATGGGCTTCTGTCAAACCCTTCCTTATGACCCAAACATGTGATGTTTACTGTTTACAGGAAACTCACTTCCTTCCATCAGATGAATATGATTTTAACTTGCCGAATTACACAAGGTATGATGTTTTTGGCAATGATGAAAGGAGACAGGGAGGTGTGTGTATATATGTTACTAACAGGATTCCTCACAGACTGATAACTGTGAACACCAACTTACAAGCTGTGGCCTGCTCCATACGAATGGGCAGCTCAACCATGCACATCTGTTCTCTTTACCTACCCCCCACTGAACCTTTACAATATGAAGAGTTGGAAAGTCTGATTAAGCAGCTCCCGGAGCCCATGGTTATCTGTACGGATGCCAACAGTCGTCATATGCTTTGGGGTTCGGATCGATGTGACCGAAGGGGAATGATTTGGGAACGTTTGATCAGAACTTTTGGACTCAATGTTCTCAATGATGGTAGTGCTACTAGAATTGATGATTACACTGGGCTGTACTCCCATATCGATCTGACAGTATCTTCAGGATCAGTCGCCCCCCACGCAATGTGGATGACTGAAGATGATCCTCATGACAGTGACCATTTCCCAATCTATATAACACTGAATAATGTTGTTGACCCTTCACAGGACTCAGACATTTTTTATGGATGGAACTTAAATAAAGCAAACTGGAATGAATTTAGAGAAAAGTGTACACTCAACTATGATGATCAACTGGGAGTAGAAAACTGCAAAGTTATGACAGACCTTATTGTCTCAGCAGCAACAGAGACAATACCAAAGAAAACTGGACATGCAAAGTACTGCTGTCCTTGGTGGACAGATGCGACAGATGAGTGCAAGAAAGCGATTACAGAACGGAAAAGGCTATTAAACCGATTTAGGAGAAATAGAGAGGTCCCAGGACTATTACTCGAATATAAAAGAGCAAAGGCCAAAGCCAGACAGGTTATTAGGCAGGCCAAGAAAGACTCCTGGCTTAAACTCCTTAGCCTTTTCAATTACCAGACCCTCTTACCCAGGTTGTGGGAGATACTGAGGAAATTCACAAGGAAAACGAGATACAACAGACCTTTACCCGTACTCAGTATAGATGGACGTATTATCGATGATACTTTTGAAGTTGGGAATACACTTGGACGATACTTTGAAAGCATCTCCTCGCAGGAGAACTACTCAGAACATTTTCGTACACGAGTTGATGACATTATTAGAACTATGCCTGATTTCCGTTCTAACAATGCTGAATGCTACAATGACTTATTCACCTTACCTGAACTGACAAACGCCATAAAACGATGTGGAAATACGTCTATAGGACCGGACAGACTGCATTACGCTTTTTTTAAACATATGGGGAATACTCAATACGGAGAACTTCTTAAGATGTTTAACGCAGTCTGGACGGAAGGTATATTTCCGACAGACTGGTCACATTCATACGTGGTCCCTATCCTGAAACCTGGGAAGCCGGCTTCCAACCCTCAGTCATACAGACCAATTCAACTTACCTCATGCATGGGTAAAATCATGGAAAGAATGATAGCTGAAAGGCTCAAATGGTATACCGAAAACAAAGGAGTGCTATCGAAATACCAGTGTGCCTTCAGGAAAGCACGATGTACGGTCGACCACATTATCAGACTGGAATCAGAGATACGACATGGATTCCTCTACCACAAATATACATTGGCAGTATTTCTGGATTTTAAAAGTGCTTACAATTTAGTGTCTACCCCTGCCCTCCTTCTAAAGATGTATACATTGGGCTTCCGTGGAAGACTGATGAAATTTGTGGAAAACTACCTGAATGGAAGAACCTTCCAGGTGAAGTGTGGTCGATTATCACAGATTTTTGAACAGGAGAATGGAGTCGTCCAAGGGGGAGTTGTTTCGCCGATACTTTTTAACCTGATGATAAATGATATTTTTGAAGGTATTGCAGATGAGTTCTCCTATGCTATGTATGCAGATGACTGTGCAATTTGGTTACAAGGAAGGCATCTTCCACAACTTATAACAACCATGCAAAACGCACTTGATTCCTTGGTGGAGTGGGCAGATACGTGGGGATTTACTTTCACGCCTACCAAATGTAATGCAGTGATATTTGGACGATATATGAAAAGAACTGAATTAGATCACATTTCCCTACTACGGATTAAAGACGAACCAATTGCATACTGTGACAATGTAAAGTTTCTTGGAGTGTTTCTGGACTCCAAGTTAAACTTGAACAAACATATCCAGTACGTTCGAGCCAGAGCATTGAAACGCATTCCCATATTGAAATGCATATCCGGACGTGAATATGGTGCCGACAGAACCATTCTGTTGAGGATGTACAAATCCCTTATACGTCCCATCCTAGAATATGCATGTCAGGTCCTTGATGGACCAGCGAACAATGCAGTGCACTCCCTTGAAAGCATACAGAACGCGTGTTTGAGGGTAGCTACAGGAGCATTGCGGACTTCTCCGGTAATGGCACTGCAGGTTGAGTCACATGTACCGCCACTCTTCCTACGACGTTGGGAGATGACTGTCAGATATGCCCTAAAAGTGACAGGATACGATGAACATCCATGTCGAGACTACATTGACGGGACCTTTTCTCTACCTGACCTAGAGTGGGGATATATTAAGCGAATATCTGGATTCCCCTTCTATGAACGTCTGCAACATGTCGCCCGAAACCTTCGGATAGTTCTTCCCAATGATGTGACGCTTAAAGCCAGTGCTTACCCTGTATGGCAGCGACACCAGTGTGACGCACGCAAACTAATTGAACAGCAGAAGGCTAATTTGGAGAGATGTGATGTTTTGCAGGCCTTTGAAGAGTTTCAGGGTACACACCCTGGATATCATTTCCTTTACACTGACGGTTCGAAAAGTGAAAGGGGCGTGGGATGTGCTTTCGTGCACGGAAACATGCAGTATAAAACGAAACTGAAACGTGACTACTCGATTTTTACAGCTGAGTGTGTTGCTTTGCTCCAAGCTGTACATTATGTCCAACATAACCAACTGGCAAACAGCGTCATTTGTACCGACTCCCTCTCGCTGCTATTAGCCCTGCAAACAAATGAAAGTAACCACCCTATGGTTACCGACATTAAGGATACTTTGCATTGTCTGAAGGAACACAATCTGCGGTGTGTAATCCTTTGGGTCCCTGGACACTGTGGAATCTACGGGAATGAACAGGCAGACCTTCAAGCAAAACGGGCTGTTTTACTAGATAGGACCGAGGAGGAGTATGAAGTATCTGTGCAGGAATATGTGTCTTTTATCCGTGCAGCATGTTTTGATCAATTTAATAGCATGTGGGTAAACGATACTCGCCAGACAAACCTTAAGAGCATAAAGCATGTTACGGGGAACTGGGTGTCTTGTCGCCGGAATGTCCGACGTGAGGAAATAGTGTTATGTCGACTGCGGCTTGGACACACCAGAATCTCGCACTCATTTATTATAGACCGTGATGTGCGACCAGAATGTAGTACCTGCGGCCAGTACGTGACAGTGCAACACATGTTAATTGAATGTCCGAACTACGCTGACCAAAGAAGACATCTCAGTGTACTGTGCCGGCACCATGGTGCGCCGATGGAGCTGGGTACTCTACTTGGTGACTCACACCCTGATATTACTGACGCTTTGTTTAAGTTTCTACACGATAGTGAACTGTTTAAGAAAATTTAAGATTATATTGTTTATTGTATGTTTCTGTTATGTGGCTGTGATATGTACAGTCTTTACCGTTTTGTTTATTTTAGTGCAAGTCTCTGTTGTTGTCTACTATGCTGTGTATGAGTGATAATGAGCTGTGATGTATGCTGTGAAAGTATGATATGGATGAGAATGAGATGAATGAATGAATGAATGATGAATGACAGTGAATGGAAAACATGAGAGTGGAGTAGAAGGAGTAGAGATTTATAACAATGGTACATAGCCGCTACTAACTCGGTGATTTGCTTCCCCCTCCCTCCCCACCCGCCACGGCACTCGCGTACACTAAACTGCTACAATATATCGGTACTACTACTGACAGTCGCACACACACAAATTCAGACTATGTCAGTACCGTGCACAATCAGTGTAGACCACATTGCTGTGTGCGATAGGCCGAGCTGAAACACAGCGCGCTCCTCTTACAGGATAACAGAGGAACATATATGTTTACTCTATATACTCTGATACGTTTTTGGTATATACTCGGATTTGTTGAGCATATGTGAACGATTGGCGTGATGGCTGAGTGCAGGCCTTATGAGTATGAGCTGATGTTAAACCTGTGAAATGTATGATGTTTGTTTTTCTTTCTCTTTAATTTACTTTATTTTTATTTTTAGTTAGTGTAGTTTGACCAATCACTAACATCTAACTACGGCAATACCAACCTAAACTGATAAATCCTAACTGGACAAATCCTGGCAACGCATTTCCTTGTCCCATGGATCGCTTAGTTCCATTCCCTGGCCATGACAAGAAGGAAGAGAAGATGTGAAGACAACTTCTGGACGCTCTGAGCCCAAGAGGCTATGCGCCCTACACCAAAACAACAACAACAACGCGCGTGGTGAATGTGCACCAGGGTATATAGAACCAGGGTATTATAGAACAACAATGTGCACGTGAATCCGTACTCCGTATCCGTAGTGATCCGTAGTTCGTGGAAGGCGGGGTTCGGGTTTGTGGTACAAGAAAACAAAAAGCAAGAAAAATGCAAGATTTTAGCCGTTGCCTATTGACTAGTTGAAACTTGAAGATTCTTAAAATAGCTAGATGATACCTATTTAACAGGCTCCATATTTCAGTTTGGCTTGCCGTTAGGCTGCCTGCAGTCTCGCACAAAACTATTTCAATTTGGGGTAGGCATTGATTCTCACAACAGTGAGGAGACAACATGATGCATGTATAGTTTGTGTTTGCCTCACTTGACTTCATTATAGAGTTCAGTGCTTGACTTCAACTTGGATGATGATGAATTCTGCAGTCTCAGATAGGACGGTACTCACTGGCAGGAATCATGATAGGGAATCACCAATTGATACTGGGTACCTAACCTACCTAGTCCCGGATTGCATAGAATTTTCGTTGTCCGAGACTCGAGAGGCATTGAACGCGGGGTTAATTTGATAGAAGTCCTTAGTAAGTGTCATTGATAAAAGCTAATCCTTACCATATTTATATCCAATGTTATCAAATAATTATCAACACCTAGCGGCTAGCACCTTTGGTTGTAGTGTAGGGAAAGAGAGGTCGGGTTAGATTATGTTTTCATCTTTATTTTTACTAATCAAAAAGACAGTTGCACTTATGAGTTATGACGCTCCTGAGACGTGGCTGTATGTGGTATTTCAATTTTCATAATAATTTTCTTGGTTTCAATGGATGTGTACTGGTGGAGTGCTTGAAAATCGTTCCAAATGAGGTATTTTAGCATTCAACAGCATTTTGAAGCTAATTGACCACATCACAAACATTTGGTTTCTTACATAACATACTCTCATATCCAAATTCCAATGCTGATTCAGACTCCATTCAGTTCAGAATAGTTTTGTGGGTGTCTAATTCTTCCTAGTACCTACTACTTAGATGTCTTTTTGTTTCAAATAACTATGCATTAAAAACATATTTTAGGAGCATTTGAAACAGTAACATTTTGGAGCACTAACTTGGAAAGCCAAAGCTCCAAAGTCTATCCATCTGGGGGACTGGGTCTTTTTCAGGAATTCGATTTATATTTCAAATTGGTATCACAGACTGCCCTTGTCTTCATTGTCCACTATTTACAAACTATTTGCATTACCTTTCAGCTTGTCCCAGCTCGTAGATCCTGCCAGAAGAAGCCATGGACTCAGGTGGCGGGGATCAGCAGCAGTTGGTGGCTGAGGGCGTTCCCTCTGTGGCTGCGGCAGCTGTACTTGTCTCCAGCACTCCCCTGCCAGAAGACACACCTGTGGTCAAAGGTGGGTACACACATGCTGTGCATCCAGAATCCAGATAGTGTCATAATCTGGGGAGTGTGCTGTCTAGAATGCAAACTTGCAAAGGTGGTGCAAAGGCAATGTGGCGGTAATGCATAAACCTGAGTCTTTTTTCATAAGTTACGGTGAGTAAAACAGCAGTTTGGAACTCCATAGGATCCCATGATCTCCAATGCTGCAGCGAGGAGACTAGTCCCGCTTTTGACTTACCATAGATGATGGCTACTGAGCTGAGGATGACTGGTCGGGGAGAAGCTGGACAGTGGATCCCAGGTCCGAGAATCACTCACAGGTGCTAGGCAGCCAGTTTTGCTAGTTGAAGGCGGGCTTCCTGGTGCAAATGACCTACGCAAACCAGAAGACGGCGAATCCCACGCTGCTTTCAAACATCACATCCATGATACCACCGTGGTGCTTGCACCAGACAGCGTAACCATTAAACAGTCCAAAATTATCGATTGGCCCATGACTTTGTCCCTAAAGTTATTTATGTTTCGGGATGGTTCAAGCTAATGAAATCCCATTACGCGGTCCTATCCAATTCAGCGAACTTCATAATCAAAGTATCCGGAGGTGCTACCGAGAGCTGCCCAGAACGGTTTGCGTGCTGGATAGCTGTTTTGAAAAGCGCCTTGCTACCACCCGTTTTATAGGTAACTGATAAGCTATCGAATCGCCTTCGTCCCGCTTTGGTGGCATCAAAGACATGTCACGACATGCTATGATAGCGCTCACGTTCCTTGTCCGTCTTGTTCTTATTGCAGGTTATGATTTCAACGAGGGCATTGACTATCACAAGCTCTTTGAAACATACAAGAACAGCGGATTCCAAGCAACGAATTTCGGTTTGGCTGTTGAGGAAATCAATAAGATGGTACGTTTTCCTGCGGCCATCGCTATGGTGGCTCCATGCTTCAGCGTGTTTGGAATATTGCCTTAGGCTCGCTTGACGTGTTTGACCTATGCTCATTCGGCACGTTTCAATGCCATTCCAATCTCCTGATGGTGTTATTTTGTCAGTTTAGTACGTTCTTAGATCTGCAATGTAATCGTACATCTACTATGTGATGCTTTGCACTGTCACTTGCTAGGTTTGATCTAATCTAATCTCTCTCCCTCCTCTCTTCCTCCCTCTCTATCCCCTCTTTCCCTACCTCCATCTCTTCTCCTCTCACCCATCCTCTCTGTCTGCAGCTGACGGCCCGCGACCAGCCGCTGGCCGAGGAGGACGCGCTCAGTGAGGACGAGTTCACCCGACGCCGCTCCGCCTGCACCGTGTTCCTCGGATACACGTCCAATATGGCGTCGGCGGGCGTGCGCGACACGATCCGCTTCCTGGTGCAGCACCGCATGGTGAGCGGCGGGTGGCGGGACGTCGTGTGGGATGGGGGAGCGGGGAGGGGAGGGGTGACGCCGGCAGAGGTCCCGTGGCAGTGGAGGCTGACAGTGCGGGGACGGGTGGTGACGGCTCCTGCGTGAGAGATCTGCGTGCAATGGGGGGAGGGTTTGGTGTGTGTTTGGCTGGAGTGGTGAGGTATGCAGTAGGAGGTCTCTGACGGTAGGTCGGGTGTATCAACTGGCATGTATGTTCGTCTGTGACACTAGATGGACTGTGCCTGAGTTTGTGTCAGACTGACTGTATGTCGTCTGTGATACGCAGGACGGGTGGAGTCTATGATAGGGGAACGATGTGCCGCCCCCGAGTGTTGACATGCTGAATGTGGCTGTGTAACATGCCGACTGTCTTTTATTACAGGTGGACTGTGTGGTGACCACGGCCGGCGGTGTGGAGGAGGACATCATCAAATGTCTGGCGCCGACATACGTGGGCTCGTTCGAACTGGACGGCGCGTCACTGCGTAAACGGGGTATCAACCGGTCAGTATCGGTACAAATGAGGTATCAGCCGATCAGTATCTGTGCAAACGGGGCATCAACCGGTCAGTATCAATACAAATCAAAATGAGGCGATAACCGATCAGTATCTGTACAAACGGGGCATCAACCGGCCAGTATCTGTACAAACGGGGCATCAACCGGTCAGTATCCGTACAAGAGGGCGCATCGACTGGTCAGTATCCGTATACGGCACATTGCTATTGTGAAGCGCTTCAGACTAATAAATTAGGTAGTGCTGGCTACTGAGGCCTCTGTATATAATATTACACCTGTCCCAACGACCTGATCGCAAAGAAACGACGTATTTTTGTTCCGGTTTTTATTGGTGTTTACGTGCCAAAATACCTGTGTTTCAGTAATCAGTATAATGTATGGATTACCTACGCTATATTACATGTATTACTTTTATTCCAATTGGCAACAAATGGCGAATATGGCTCTTTTTCAGGATCGGAAACCTGCTGGTTCCTAACGACAACTACTGCAAATTCGAGGACTGGGTGATGCCCATTCTGGACAAGATGGTCGTTGAGCAGGCTGAACAGGTACTGATTCGATAGATGGGCTCCGGAACGCTCGTAAACGGGACAGCACCGCCTCTGTGTCATATCAGCGGCTCGTGGGCAGTCGTGAGATTTCCTTTTATGATCGGGAGCGTCCTTTTCGGTCTTTTGTTACCGCTCTAGATTAGTGAAAAGAAATCCAACTCAATGCGGAATGAATCAGTCCAGTGACGGATAACGATCTGATAACCGCGACCATCCCCGTCAGTCATCGCCTCCCCAGTCCTTGTCGCCAGCGCACGCTGTGGTCGCAGCTGTCACCAGTCTCGGTTGATAACCTGTATATCCATTCCCCCAGGGTACTCTATGGTCGCCATCGTTATTCCCTCAGCTTACGATCTTTATACCCTTCCCCCAGGGCACGCTGTGGTCTCTCAGTGGATGGCCTGTTCTCCTGATTCTCCAGGAAATGCTGTGGTCTCCTAGTGAACTCGTGTACCGTTCCCCAGGGCACGCTGTGGTCGCCGTCCCGGATCACGGCCCGTCTCGGTGAGGAGATCGCCGACCCGAGCTCGGTGCTCTACTGGGCCGCCCGCAACAGAATCCCCGTGTTCAGCCCGGCGCTGACCGACGGCAGCCTCGGCGACATGATGTTCTTCCACTCGTACAAGCGGCCCGGACTGGTGGTCGACATCCTGTCCGGTAGGTGGCGCTGGCGCCGGCAGTACGGTCCCCGGGACTGGGGCCTCAGAGCTGTAGACTTGTAGATAGCGCCGGCGGTGTGTGTGTGGTGCCTCCAGACACGGGCTCCAGTCGGTAGCTGGCGCGAGCGGTGCTGTTTCCCACCCTCTGCCCCAGAGTGGTAGACCTGGCGCTTGTGGTGGCACGTTCCCCCGCCTTGGTGTGGCTGGGGAGCAGATGTCAGCGTGGTACCAATGCCCGGTCATGGCGAATTCGTGTGCAGTGTGTTAAGCATTGTTCATAAAACTTAAAAAAAAAAATCCACCCGGCCGTCGTTCCCACCCTCAGGATGTTCAAATCCTTCTCCTCCACGCCGCAACCTTCGATCCGGGCTGGACAGTGGACAGGCAACTCTTCTCATGCGGGCTGTTCCCTTGGAGGAGCACCGCTGTTTCGAGGGTAGCGTGCAGAGAGTACTTCGGGGGCTGGTCGGCCTGTCTTTTGGGACGGGCTCAGGCCCCGGTGACTCGCTAGGGTGCCTGCCCAGACCAATGTCTCCAGTCTCATCCTAATTCCTATCATCCTTCCGGCTCTGCAATGGTCTTGTCAGTTCGAAAGGCCCTAACCCAGCAAAACAAGAAATCCGATGTAAATTGTAAAGTATTACGTTTTCTGGTTATATCTATTTCAGGACGGGGTGATATGCCTCCACTCTCTATCGAGCGCCTGGGTGTTAACACCCGACAATTTATGTTTGGTGGTACATGATACCACTTCCTTACACCGTCTGTGCCGACACCTGGCGACACCTCCTGACACTGTGCGCTGACACCCGCAGACCTGCGTCGGCTGAACTCGATGGCGATTAAGGCCCAGAGCACGGGCATGGTGATCATCGGCGGCGGACTGGTCAAACATCACATCTGCAACGCTAACCTCATGGTGGGTGACGGCCGCCGGTGCGGTCCGACGGGCGGGGAGATGTGTTCACATCTGACCTTATAGTTATACACATACACAGCGATACATATTTTTATAGCTCCATGAACCGGCAATATTTGAATAGCGAATATGGCCGATGTAATTGTTTAGTAAATAGCAATAATCAGTACTCATTTTAAGACGTTATTTTTCCGTGGCCACGCCATCGTATCATGAAACTTCTTGCCTAGGGAACGTGTTTCCCACGTCGTGGGCGAACACTATCCGTTTTTTGTTTTCCTGTGCCGTGTTAGCGTCTCGTCTATGTTCAGTCTTTTTGTTTTTGTGCGCCACAACTCACCACAACGTCTCGCGTTTCTGTCACGCTGCCCCATCCTCGGGAGTCTGACTACCTACACCCCTCCCCTCGTCCTCAGCGGAACGGCGCCGACTACTCGGTGTTTCTGAACACGGCCGCCGAGTTTGACGGCAGCGACTCGGGCGCGCGGCCCGACGAGGCCGTCTCCTGGGGAAAGATTCGACCGGCCGCCAAAGCCGTCAAGGTGGGTCCCCCGGACGAGCCAGGGAACCGAGACGAATGAGTCTGGGAGCGGGGATGGACCGGAGTCGGGCCTCGGGGACTGAGGCGGACCGTGCGGCAGTCGCGGCTGGGTCTTGGACGCTTCATGATGGCGTTATACGAGTGGGGAGGTGACGACAGGCACGAATCACCACATAGCATGGGCGAAAGGGCGATATTTTATTGATGCAGCGCCTCTCAACCCCAATTATCATATTCACGAATCAATATCGCAATTAATATCTAGTGTCACAAATGGCGTACAGTCATATAATTGACATCATTATGTTCAGTGTTGGCCCTGGCCCCCCTAACTATGTGGTGATTTGCTTTGATTAACCCTATTAGTGGCAGGCTCCTGGCTACCCCATATTAGTGGCAGGGGGGGGGGGGCTGTTTACGACCCCCCCCCCCCTTGATATCTCGAGATCTAACCGGCCGATTTTCAAAATTCAAACGGCATTCGATTTGGCTCAACGAGATCTACATTTCTAAAAAATAAAAATTAAAAAATCTCAATAGGGGGGGTAGAGGGGGACAAAAACGGGCAAATTGCAGATACATTTTAGACTGTTTATCACGGCCAGGTTTCTGAACCAATCTTAACGCAACTTTTGCCGATCGATAGAGAATGAACCAGGAATTCACATGGATCCTAAAAATATGCATTTTCAAAAATCATAGGCGGATACAGATCATTGAGATCGGGGGTACACAAAAAGTATAGTAAATAAGGTTTTTGTTGGTACTGTTTCTAAAAAGGGTGGCAATGGTCTTGTTATGTTACAATTTTCTTATGAGAGAACGACTAAAATTGTATTGGTCATGCATAGGCGGTGTCAGGGCACCTATGTTGGGAGGTAAAAAATAACCCCCCTTTTTGGACGCCTGGATCCGCCTATTATAGCAAAAACGTGTCAAAAGAGGATGCACAATAACTTTGTATATGTTATCACATGATACCTTTCATTCACTGTTCGTAAAACTGGTGCAGCATCGTGATCTTCGCCCAAATGACTCGCTTCACGAATAGGACCCCCAATTCCCAGTGCTCTGGAGCCGCCCCTGGTAAAGTTATGAACTTGAAATTTTCAGGGAATGTGCCCAATTTAGTTTTAGGAAAAGTCAGAAAATTTCAGCATCGTAGCTTTAGCGGTTTCGGAGATATTCCCGAAAAACCTGAGGGGTGGATAAAAACAACCCCCCCCCCTGCCACTAATAGGGTTAATACTGTAATGATTTGAAGAAATGACTGCTAACAGACATTCAAACAGAAATGTTTTTCACATGTCGACACCTTTTTAAACCCCACATTTGTTCTCCGGTGAATTTCAGACAAGTTGGTTAGAGACCTTCAAAAAAGGTACAATCACTCGATTTTTCTCAAGTTTTTCTCTCTTGGCAGATAAAGCAATACCAGAACAGGCCTACGAACACAAATATTTGATCAGGATCGGACGATTGGACACTTTTAAAAGGAGATCTTTCGTGCCTCCCGGAAATTCACGGGAGAGCAGATGTGGGGTTTAAAAAAAGGTGTCGATGTATGGTATCTCCTGGTATGGTATGGTATGGTGGAGTTGCTTTTCCATAGTGATTAATGACGTTATTGCGATTTAAAGTGATGGCACGACAACATATTTTATGGACTGTATTCCGTATGACAGGCCATGATGTGCCTGCATTTTAGATAAGGCTCTACTAGACTAGTTGTTTCAGTTTACTTCCAATGTTTTGATTCAAGGTACAAACAGTAGCGGGGTGGGGATTTTTTTTTGCTTGGTTTGGTCGTAGACTAATTAAATAATCACTGGTCGCGTGGGAGCTGACACTCCCCAGGTACGTTCGTTCGGTGACTAAGCACGCTGCTCGAGGTCAGGACGGGTGCAGTTGGTCACAACGGCACTGGTGATTTGTGAATAGTTGATATCAGAGGAGTGGGGCTCGCTATAGACGCCTCCGTAAAGGCAGTCTTTAGATGGGGCGTTCCCAGCGCCTGTGACACCTATGGATGCCCGCCTGCGCACATCAGTCATCGCCGCCGGCTCATTTCCCCCGCCTGGTGCGCGGGCTCCACCCTCCTGACGGGTACGCCACACACCAAGCGCCATAAAACAATGAAAATAACTGCGATCCGCGACAAAATGGCCAGTTCGCCTTCACGCAAGGCGAGGATGGGAATAGACGCTTTTTTGTTGGATGATGACTCCTTTTTTCCCGTCGGTAAGTGTTTAATTATTTTCGTTTGTGTTGCCCGTTGCCGTTATTTTCGCGGTTCTCTCTCATGTGGCATTAATATTCAACCTCTAGCGGATCATTATTCCCGGTCAATGCTGATAGCAACAGCATTTTTACTTTTTCTTGACCACGGGGGTGGGTTCTTCTAAGGAGTCAAAATCGAGTATTGTGCGGTTACTAACATGCTAAAAATTTGTTAGGGTTTGTCCCAAACTTCTATTTCTTTTGTGAGTGACAAGGACGGGGATACCAATCGCCCCCGCCAAGTGCTCTCAGTCTCAGGGAGCGTGATCTAGCTCGTGAGCACGTGAGCGCCCCCCCCCCCCCCGTCCCCATAAAATGCTCAGTTCCCACCGCTGCCCTCCCTCCCGGCCGGCTGAACTCCCTCCCGGCTGCGTTTCAGATCTGTGCCGAGGCGTCGCTGGTGTTTCCCCTGTTGGTTGGCGAGACGTTCGCGAGGCACCACTTCAGCCGAACGGGAGAGCGGCGGGACGGTGCGGCGGCAGCAAACGGGCCGGCGCCCTAACCACAGGCGGGCCGGCGTCTAACCACAGACGGAGGGCGCCCTAACCACAGACGGAGGGCGTCCTTACCACAGACGAAAGGCGCCCTAACCACAGGCAGAAGGCGCCCTAACCACAGTCTGGGAGGGGCCCTAACCACAGACGGGATGGTGCGGCGGCAGCAAACGGGCTGGCGCCCTAGCTCCCGCCTCAGGCCCGGTACTACAGTGACTGTCACTGCCGACGGTACGGTACTAAAGGTCCGGTGTTGTAGGGTTGATCGGGTACTGCCGAAGGTCCGGTGCTGGCCATCGTCCAATGCTGACTTCTCGGTGTGTAGTGTTGATCCGGTGCCGCCGGAGGGTTCACTGCTGCCAACGGTCCGTAAGTGTAGCATCGGTACGGTCAGTTATGGGTCCCATTATCACGTCTGTGGAATATGCGGGCGTGGTATCCACCACTATTGCTGGTGCCCTTATGACTCCTCAGCCCGGCTATTTGCCGTTTAACGACACTGAAATGGGAAGTGGTTACGTCGGCGTTTTATTGCAGCTGTGCGGTGTGAATTATGTGATCGTTATGCTGGTCATTGCACTGACAATGTTAACGGCCGCATTTAGTGAGCGTTTCACTCGCACTGTTACGCTGCCGCTGTGCACTGTGATGAGACCAGTGTGCATGACGTAGAACAGGGAACCTTGCGACCCGTGTTTTAATTCCGCGGCGAGAAAACGGGTACCCAGGCCATAGTTAACCCCCTTGGTTGTATGACCCTCGATTGGGCGTCTGTTGCTGTGCTGCCCAGCACTGTTGTGGTTGCATGTAAATTTGTATGTGCCTTTACGGTTGTATCTAACGACTGAGCTGCTAGTGTGACTGCTTACCTGTGAGTTAAGCCGGGAACTGTTGGTGAGGCCCGTGCGGGAGTCGTCCTATTGATCCTGTGCGGGTCCGTCCGCTATGACCTGTCCGGCGGCCCAGGTCTGTGACCGAAGGTCGCACCGGCCGGCCGTGCGCCCGTGATTCCGTTTCGCCAGACATGCTCACTGCGTGCACGTATGTGTGGCGTGACGAGCCGTGGGACCGTGACGGCGTCACGTCCGTCACACGTGGGACTGGGGAGAGTGTGTGTGATGGGTCAGGTGGCGCAGTCTGTCGACTGCAGCTGACACCGTCCCCGGTCAGATAGCGGAGGGGGGGGGGGAATAAGTCAGTGATACAAGGGAGTTGGTACCGATTGCCAACCCGTCCCGGGCCGGATGGTGGTTTGTGTGTGGGGGGGGGGGGGGGTGAACAGTCAGGTGGTACAGGGGCCGACTGCTGACCCCGCCCCAGATCAGATAGCGGGGGGGGTATAAGTCACTGGTACAGGGGGTCTGCTGACTGCTGACCCCGCCCTAGGTCAGATAGCGGGGGGGGGGGTATAAGTTAGTGGTACAGGGGGTCTGCTGACTGCTGACCCCGCCCCAGGTCAGCGCGCGACGCTTTCTCGCCCCCGTAGACACTGTGATGGGCGCGGACTGCTCATGTGAGAGCTCATTTGGCGCGGGTTATAAGTCAGGTGTTTTGGACAGGTTTTGTTGACTGTTTATATTGTGATGATTTTGTTGAGGAATGACGTGTTATTCGATATTTGAAATAAATTTTGAAAGTCCGCGAGTTTTGTAAAGCATCCACTTGCCGTTTGTTGCCGACGGTTCTAATCTTTACATAGACACAGGGCTTCTGAGTTCTGACCCTGTAGCTTTGTGCAAGGATTGTGCTCACCACTAGCGATATCGCCTCGTCTCCGCCCAGTACTGTGTTGTCCGTCACCTCTCCGATGACCGGATCACACGCTCAGTTGCTCCCACACGCTGGTCGCAGCTGGCGGCGGCCGGTGAGGCGGCGGACCCGGCCCGGCCGGTGAGCTGCTCAGCGACCACAGCCGAGCGGCGGGCCGCTGCTCGGCGTGCTCTGTCACCATTGGGTGTGTAGTCTGTAAATGCGAGCACCGAGGGTCAAGGGTGTAAATTTGCAGTTGGGCCCCGAAGAGCCGCACCAAGTTTCAAATGGCTGGTGTATTTTGTCTGGGATCAATGACATGTTGCATGTACCAAATAATGCCCACAGAAGTAGTCAGTAGTCACACTGGGTTTCAAACATGGTATGTATGCTGGTCTGCTAGCTGATGCTTGGAAGGTCCATTATTCTCAGTGAACACTTAACATTGAACATGAATGTGAGTTGTGTACGCAGCCATAGGTACGCTTTAGCATTAGTGTTTTAATTTTCATGGACAGATTAATTGATATCCGTGGCCGGCAGTTATGATACGCCATTTTATATTTACGAAGTAAGGTCTGTTCTGTATCGATGTGATATTCTTGTCATGTCATTTCGCAAAATGTCCTGCAATTTACCATAACATGGTAATTAATGTTCATGAATGAATATTTGAATCCTTAGTCACAACACATAAATAGACCGTCGTACGGACTCGGTTACTGCTTCGGTGCGTGAAACTGTCACATTTGCGTTGCAGTGAAGCAAATTGTTTTGTCTATGCGCGGAGGTCAAAGTAGTTCTGTCCCGCGCCAATGTCACATTTCCTAGACACGGCGGTGCCCAGGCCTCGTTGGTCCTAATTGGCGGCATCGCCCACTGAATTGATGATGATGCCTGTGTGTCGGGGCGGCGCGGGCGCCCGGCGCGTGTATGTGTTGTCGTTCCCCGGGGCGACGGGGTGTTGTACTGGAGGCGTCCGCCCGCACCGGAGGGAGCAGCTCGGGCAGCGCCACCTCGGCCGGCGGTCTTTCGTCGAGCGGTCGGCGCCGGGCGTCCGACACTCCACGGCACCGCGTCAGTCAGCGGCGCAGCGCGGCCGTCCAGTCCGAGCCAGCGCCTGAGAGGACGCAGTGCCGGCAACTGACTGAGATTGCTCGCTCTTGTAGGATTGGGAGGCCGGCCAGACCAGTGGAGTGTGCTCGCATTATCACGTCGTCTGCGCTGGTCCCTCGGCGGCAGGATGGCCGATGCGGACGACCTGAAGGTGGACGATGTCGAGGAGCAGCCGGAGCCGGGAGCCGCCGGGGACGGAGGGCCGGAGCGGGCTCCGCCGGCGGACGGAGGTGCCCCGGCCGACGCGCCCGCCTCTCGGCCGCAGTCGGCGGCGGCGGCGGCCTCTCCGCCGTCCTCGGCCCGGGCGCGCGCCTCTGCCAAGGTGCACCCGGAGCCGGAGCCGGAGCCGGAGCCGGCGCGCTCCGACCCGGAGAAGGGAGCCGCCGCGGAGCCGCCGCCCGAGTGGGCCGAGAGGTGGCTCTCCAACCAGAACAAGGCCGACAAAATGAACGCCTTCCGACAGTACATCGAGTGAGTTTTAAATGTACACAATTAATCGTCAATCCGCACTTTTCTGTTACAAGCTGAGGCATTCTTTATCCGTTATGAAATCATCCACTTAAATGCTTACGCTTTCATGATCAGCTCAGAAAAGTTGTTGGCGAATAGATATTTCCTCGTCTGTGGAAGCTCCACTAGTTGCTCCGTTGCCCTGTCTCCAGCGTCCTCACCCCTTCCCCCCGGCACCCTGCAGGCGAGTCCAGGACCAGGCCGAGGGCCCGGTGACGAGCCCCTCAGCCGAGGAGCGGCACGCCTCCGCCTACTGGGTGACCAATCGGTTCCTGCTGGACCGGTGCTCGGCGCACGGCGTGCCGCACATCATGCGCCATCCGAGCCGCTGGCGGCGCCTCTTCTGGGCGCTGGTCGTTGTGGGCGCGCTGGTCGCGCTCGTGGTCCAAGTGCGCGCCACACTCAGCGAGTACCTCCGGTACCCCAAAAAGGTCACCATCGAGGTGAGTGCATGAGTGAGTCATGGATACGTGCATGTCCTGTGATCGTGCAGTCCGGTTAGTGGCGGGAAAGCATTCAGTCTGAATTGATTCACCTACATATTTTACCGATGTTTGTGTAGTTTTGGAACGAATGTTTTCTTTAATTTACTCACTATTCGATAGCATAATTACTTGTAAGCAAAAATGGGTCACTGCCGGTAGTGTGTCCTCATAAAGACGATATACTCTAACAAGTATAATCCCCAAAAGCATCGGGCACCACCATCGTCGTTACCCCGCGCTCGACAACTTTTTGACTGGAACTGGTAGGTACAGGGACCCGCAGTTGCTACTGTACAGCGACCCTGAGTAAATTGTCCCAGCACCCTCACAGGGAACAACGATAAGCTGTCAGAGGGTACTCACAGGAAACCTCAGCTGCTCTTGTACAGGGACCAGCAGTCGATATCAATGTTATCGGTTGTTACTGGACAGGACAGACGGTTAGACTTGGGGTTCGTGTACAGTAGCAACTGCGGGTCCCCGTACCGACAATTAATTAGCCCCCCTCCCAAGAAATACTCGACTGGCTCCGTCGCTGCCTAAAAAGCACATTTGCGGTACAGATAGGTCCGTTCTTATATAGGCAGGGCTCCGCCACCATTTCAGAATAGAGGGAGGTCTGACTATAGAGGTCTGAATAGAGGTCTGACACAAAAACAATAGGCTGCACACAATAGGCTGCATTACGGAAGTGAAATCATTAGAGGCTAACCCCCGTGATACCCCCCCCCCCCGGTGGCGGAGCCCCTGATATAGGCGATGCCCGGGGAACGAATGCAGGCGATAAGATCGCTCTATTATGCACGTATGCGTGCCTGTATGCTTAATCATTTTGGTGCGCTTATGCGTCCTTTTTTACGGGAGCTGTGCGAAACGTCCATTGTATTCGTCCGTTCTATCCCACTCCGTCCGCTATGACCGATATAGTCCTTTGTAGGTGTTCGATAACAATATTGCTTATGAAGCGTGCTTTAACGCATGAATGGTAAGCCTGTTTTGTTCGATTCAAACAGTTCATTTTATAGTTGTATTCGGGTTTTTTCAGATTCTGGAAGATAGCACGCCAGAGTTTCCGTCCGTCACTATCTGCAATTTCAACATCCTCAGCTCTGATAAGATGTCGGAGCTGGACAAACACTGGCGGATCCAGGGGGGGGCATTAGGGGCATATGCCCCCCCCGACAGGAGCCTGGGGAGGGCATTCAGTACAAGTATGCCCCCCCCGTTCAAAATCTTACGCCTATAACGAGGAACTAAATAAACATGGATTAGAAAGTCTTCCTATGTAACTACTTTTGTGATCAGAGTCGTTTAAGTAACCTCAATTTAGTTGTCATTGCTTTATTTTGTCAAAAAGTATGTTGCTTCTTAGTTCTTACAACAGGGCAGTCATGCCGCTTCAAGTTTCAACCCTTTTGACCGTATTGTCCAAGGCCATCTATAGAAGGTACAGTCACTCTCCCGCCGACCAATCAGAGACAGATCCTGAGTGACGTCACCCCTGATGCTCGATAGGGGTACTCCATTCCTTTACAACGTAAAAATGACTAACTTCATTTGAAGATTGTTGGTGACACTCTACACATATCGCTCAACCATTGATGTCATAACATTGGAAAGTCCAACTAATTTTCTAGCGATAAAAAAGAGCAGCAATATGCTAAGAAATGGCCGGTTTTGAAGATATAGACGATTTAAAAAACCTCTGCAGTTGAAGGAAAGCAACGTAAAAACGCATCGAGCTTATATTTTTACTATGAATAAATCATTTTTCAGTAAGTTTTTAGATATGGTATCGATTTATTCAACAACTTTATTACAATATTTTTATTACTTGGAACTTTATTTCAAAATAATATTTCAAAAATGGCAACTGTTGGCAAGTAGCTTTGAAGCGATTGTGGCGCGCCGCGCCATTATTGTCCTGAGGCCCCCATATGATGTCATCAAAAGTGGAGTGACATGGGCCTGGTATTGTCTAACGATGGCACTCATATTGCGCAAACCAGGAATCGGCCGCTGCCTATGCTTGGGAATAGGGACGGTTAGAATATGATTTACCTGTATGACCACAGCCAGTGCAGCGTAAACGGGGGGGGGGGGGGGCACAAGGGGCGCGTGCCGCCTCATTAGATGCATGGTGCCCTATGGGCCCGAGAGGCCCTGCAGTGCCAATTGGCCGCTCAGGGTCCAAGCGTGCCTTATTTCGACTGAGATAAGACCCGCAGGACTCGTGAGAGCACCTCACGGAGTCACGGGCTCCTGGGTCGCCACATATCACACATCTCCATAAGGGCCCCACTCCGGCCTCTGAGGGCCCTGTGCTGGCCTCTGAGTGACCTTGCTGACCTATTAAGCGTCAGCTCTAATTAGAGTCCTGGCCCATACCCGCATGGAACGGCTCCACACCAGTGTCTCTGAGGGCCCATAACGGCGCCTTTGAGGGTCTCACACCGGCGCCTTTGAGGGCCGAACACCGCCAATCTGAGGGACTAACACCAATCTTTTTTAAGGCCCTACATCGGCGGCGGCTCTGAGGGCCCCACACTGGCGCCTCTGAAGGTCTTACACAGGCGCGTCTGACGGCTACCTACCTGCAACTCAGTGGGCCCCACACTGGTGACTCTGAGGGCTCCCAGTGACGCCTGAGAGTACCACGCCGGTCTCCAGGATCCCACAGGGCTCCTGAAGGCCTCTGCTGGCCCTTGCTGGTCTCTTGAAGACCCCTTGCCCCCATGCATGTGTCTCTGAGGAGTGAGGACTCCCACAACGATGCCTTTGAAAGTCTTCACCGGCGACTGTGAGGGCACCACACAGACACGTCTGAGGGCCCTTCACCGCCACCTCTGACACACCAGTGTCTCCTGAGGTCCCACATCGGCGACTCTGAGGGTCCCACACCGGCGCCTCTGGGGCCCCACACCAGTGCCTCTGGCAGTCAGCCACCGGTAACTCTGTAGGTCCTACACCGGTGACTCTGAGGGCCCCACCGGCGTCTGAGAGTACCATGCCGATCTCTAAGGACTCCACAGGGCTCCTGAAGATACTGCCGGCCCTCACTTGCCGGCCTGTGAAGGCCCATTGTTGGCATCATACGGTCCGTTACCGGCCTCTGAGGGCCCTTTGTCGGTCTCTGAGAGGTCCTACTGGGTTATTAAGCATTCGCATTTCGCACCAACCACTCCAAGGGTCCCACACACAGCCATCTGTGAATGGTGTGGGCTTAGCGCCACACCAGTGTCTGAGGCACCACAACGGCGTCCATGTGAGGGCCTCACACCAGCACCTTAGAGGGCTCACACCGGCTCCTTTGTGGTTCCTGCACCAGTGCCTCTGAGGGTCCCACACCACTGCCTCTGGGGAACCCACACTAGGGTGCGTCACCAATTATATGGTGAAACTAAAAGTTGATGATAAATCTTGAGCATGCTCATTTTTCGGTTCCACTTACTGAGTAGACGCCGCATACAAAAAATAACAGTCCTCGCGCAAGTGGAAGTGCTGCCTCATGGCAATACATTTATTGGCCAAAAGCTCCATATATCGAAAACTTATGGCGTTCTGAGAATTGAACAGAAAATATTGAAATGTTATAATTCTTGAACAGGCTCCGGACATCAATTGGGAAAGCGAGGACAATCCTTGAAACATGTTTTTGGTTCACCCATGCGATGCCTTCACTTCTTCAAGACGGTCATCTACTTCGCATACGGCAATCTCTTCCCGGTCTTCCTTGACCGTCTGGAGCAGCTTCTGTTTTCCCTACTCTGACTTCTTATTCTACGGTTGAAGGTCATTACGAGCGCCAGTATCCTTTCTGCAGTATTATTGACGATCTTCAGGGCCTAGACAGTGTCACGTGCCACCTGGTAGTCGTGGTCTACTCCTAATCCCAGAACTCCAGGTATCGTCCTAGGAGTACCGTGAGAAAATGACAAGGAAAATGGAGTATTTCGAAGAAGTGCGAAGACGCATTGACGAACCTATCCATGGTAGTCCATCCAGCGATATCCAACGACGGATTTGATCGCCGGAGGCATGTGGCCCACCGTCACCGACGCCAGGATCATTCAGTTTGCCCACAGTGTCGGCCAGGATCATTCAGTTTGCCCACAGTGTCGGCCAGGATCATTCAGTTTGCCCACAGTGTCGGCCAGGATCATTCAGTTTGCCCACAGTGTCGGCCAGGATCATTCAGTTTGTCCACAGTGTCGGCCAGGATCATTCAGTTTGTCCACAATGCATGGTGGACAAGCTGAATGAACCTGGCGTCGGTGACGTTGGCCCCGCTACTGCATGAAGCGCTCCCGAACGTTTCTCTTCTCATTAAACGTCTTCAAGCCTTCCGCGAAGGATTCCCTCGACTGCGCATGCCGCCCTGAAGGCGAAGAGGATCACGAGTCTCTTTGAGGCGAGTGATTAGAGAACAAGATCAGAGGAGCTAGCCCTGGGGCTGCGTACCGATGGCGACCGATAGCCTTCAGCGCGGCATGCGCACATTGTGCACTGTGCAGTCGAGGGAAAACCTTCTTGGAAGGATTGAAGACGTTTTTGAGAGAAAAGTCGTTTGTGAGCGCTTCATTCAGCAGAAAGGCCTCCGTCCAGGACTTAACGTACACAAGCGCAGTGAAGGTGGCAAATTCTTCGACTGATTTAAGATCTTTTAGACGCAGTTGGAGGTAATGGCGGAAAAGGAAGATCTTAAGGGTGTATCACTGCATATGACCTTCGACATCCAACGAGCGTGGTGGTCGACCCCCGTCAGATCACCGGGAGGAAATTCGCCGAGGAAGAGAACACAGCTGAAGGCATTCTCGGTAGTCGTTCCGTGGCAAGAACTTGCCGGCCTGGAGAGCGCGCACGCAGAACACGACTGCGCCTGCTTTCCAAGCCTTTTCCTTGGGGTTGTCGCAAGGCCGAAAGTCCTGCTGGTTGATATGTTGCCATTGTGTTCTGAAGAAGTCCACGAAAATCTTCGAACTCGGTCCTGAAGTCGCCCCGAAGAGCATTTTGAAGACATGGCTGCAAACAACTTCGAGAATATGGTGTCTGCACAGTAGCTCGGTATGTTGGTGTTACTGTGTTTGGTGTTACTCTGCTGTGTTCAGAGGCATAAGTCAAAAGAGTCCTTGTATGTATGTATTATTTACGATCATGGCCGATCCACACATCGCGTGGCGATTACGAAGCAAATTTAATAGAAAACAAGTAAAACAGAGTGGTGCATTGATGCCCAAAGTGATGAAAAAGGTCCAAAAATGCCACAACTAAATAACGATACAGGAACACGTAAGAACGATTCGCTACAGCTTTGTCAGCATAATACCGGCACCAGCAGAATCTCGAACTTTACCATGCTTTGTGACTCGCTACCAGCATATTACCATTATTCCAATTCGTGTCGCATTGATTGGCAATCTCAACTTCGGCATCATTGGCATTTTACCGGCAGTACAGGATCATATTTTATATTCCTAGCCGGCTGTGGCAAACGATACTGTCTATGCCGTTAGCAAGTCAATGGGAAATTGCACCCCTGTCGGGAGTGTCTTGAGGCAGTGGTAAATGAAGGAGAAAAAACACCAAACTCCACACAGTTAATAGTCATGCTAAAAGTAACCCGAAAAATAAAATGCTCAAGTTCCATCGAACAAATTTGTTTTTTGACGCACCCTAACCCACACCGATAGCTTTGATGGTCCCACGCCAGTACCTCTTAAGGTGCCACACCGGCGGCCCTGGGTCGGCTCTATAGGTACACCAGTCATTCTGAGGGCCCCACCGGCCCCACCAATTTTCGTCGATTTCTGGCGCTGCCCGGGTATTTGTCCCAAAAGCCTCCTCCTCCTGGATCTGCCAATGGGGTTCAGGTGTCCTACAATTTCTGTTTTTTTTTTTTAGAAAAAAAAAACTCGTGTCAGGGCTATGACGAAAAATAAGTGGCCTAAATCCGATGAGAAAACAGGATTTGGGGGTACCCTAGGTTTGGCTCCGTGACCTGGTATGCCCCCCCCGCGCTGACACCCTGGATCCGCCAGTGTGGACAAATACAGAGATATCGTCAGCTTAGAACAGGACATTGCAGACCAGGGAAGTAAGTAGCGGATCTTTTTTACAACTCATAAATCTGGCTACCCAATACTCATCATTTCACACCGATTTCAAAACGTATTCCGACTATTTTTTCGCCATTGCATATTATATTACGCAGTCCACCTACCTATGTATGTTATGCATCACCAAGGTTACGGTGTGAACGTGCGACTCGCCTCACTTTGTGCCAGTCTGTGTGTCGATGTGTCACCGCAGTCCGTGTCAGTCTGTGTCAGTGCATCACCGCAGTCTGTGTCAGTCTGTGTCACTGTATGTCACCGAAGTCTGTGTCAATGTGCATTAAAGGGACCCTCCCACCTTCAAAAAAGTTTATGAATTGGCATGAAAGTGATGTCGCTCGGTTCACAAAGAGCGAAAACGAATATCTACCAAATTTCACCGAAAAATATTCACCGGTTTTCAAGATATTAGACTTTTACTTTTGTTTACTTTTTGGGATCTCCGCTGTTCCTAGCGACTTTATTTGGAAGCAATACTTTGGCAGCTGAAAGTGCGGCTTTTGTTGCGCGCAAAGCAGCATATACCACCGCGTGCTACAAAACGTTTTAGTCAAACATTTAAAAATCGTTAGATATCTGCGCTGACGTCACACATTCAGAGGGGTATTCCTATGCATTAGCCCCTCTGAATCAAAATGCTGCAATTTTGAAATTCAATATTTCCGATTTAAGGCATTTCTCGATGTTGTGACTTGTGAGTGCCGAAACCGGTAATTGTGAGCCAGGCACGGGCGTAGGAACGTCATGAAAAGTGGGAGGGCCACCCTGTCAAGGGGCCTCCTTTTCCAGGGGGCCTCCTATTTTCAGGGGCCTCCAACTTTTGCCTCGTCCTGCTGGCTGCTTTCAAGTATGACCTCCAAATCTAGCTTCTGAGATTGGGCAGATGTACCCAGGGGCGTAACCGCTTAAGCGAATAGTGCAGAAAGTCCGCACCATTTTTAAAACTTGTTCCTCCCTCCGATTTTTTTTTAGAATGTATTTGCCGCAAACGGCGCATGACCCCTGAAAACCCTTACACAAATGTCTTCCTCGTTTCCCAGGTGCCCCCATTTTATCATAGGCGTCTCTCTTTTATGGACACTTGAAGGCACCTCTCTTTGCCATGCCGGCGCCCCTGTTTCTTATGAATGCACCCCCATGGCATTGATCAATTGCAATTTGCAGACCTCTATTGCATGTGGAAGCCCATATATGTAGGCCTCAGAGGCGCACCTCTTTCGCATTGAGGCGCCCCTATGGGCTTCATAGGCGCCCCTCTATTGCACGTAGGTGCCCTACTGTCTCAGAACCGCTCCCCTTTGGCATGGAGACGCCCATCTTTCGTACGGAGGAGCCGCTGTGGTTCTTAGAGACGGCATGTTGCTCCCAGACGCAGATGGGGCTCTCGGAGTCGACAGTGTGGGACATTCAGTCGCTGATGGGTGCCCGCCAGATGTGGACCCTCGGAGACGCCGGTATGGGGCCCTCAGAGATGCCGGTATGGGCCCTCAGAGGTGCCGGTATGTGGCCCTTAGAGACACCGGTGTGGAACCCTCAGATACTTCAGTGTGAAGCCCTTACAATTGCTGGTGTGGAGCTATGAAAGCGCTGGCTTAAATCCCTCAGAGGCCGGTACATGGACATAAGAGCTCAGCGAGAGCTTGTGTGGTGCCTTCAGTGGCCTTGTGGAGCCGTTAGACATCAACATGGTGCTCTCAGGAGCCGGTGAGTCCTCAGAGTCACCGGTGTGGGGCCTTCCGAGCTCCGAGATACTGGTCTGGGGCCCTCAGAGGTGTCGGTGTGGGTCCTTCAGATGTACCTATAGAGCCTTGAGATGCACAGGTGTGGTACTGGTGGTCCACAGAGGCGCCGGTGTGGGGCCCCCAGAGCCACCGATATAGGGCCCTAAGAGACACTAGTATGACCCTCAAAGGCGCCGCTGTGTGGCGCTCATAAACACTGGTGTGGAGCCATCACAGTCGGGTAGAGCCGTTAGAGGCCGGAAAGGGCCCTTAGATGCCTACAAGGAGCCTTCAGAAGCCGGCGTGGCACGTGGGGATAAGCGTGTCTACTTAGGAGCCCTTGAGGTGCTCTCATGAGCTCTGTGGGGCCCTACCGAGCCGAAATATGGCCACGGTCAGTTGCCGCCGCATGGCTCTTCGGACTATCATTCTCAGGGGCCTCATCTGCCTAGTTTGAATAGAAAGGCCTCTCAGACCATCAGTCTCATGGGCCTCCTCTGGCTAGTATAAATAGAAGGGCCTGTTAGACCATCAATCCTAGGGGCCTCCTCTGGCTAGTATAACTAGAAGAGCCTCTCAGACCATTAATCTCAGGGGGCTCCTGTGGACAGTATATATAAAAGGGCCTCTCAGACCATCAGTCTCGGGGGCTTCCCTAGAAAAGTGTAAATGTGGATAGAGGGCCCCCTCAGATTCATTAGGAGTGGACCTCTCTGGCTATCAGTCTCAGGGGCCTCTTGTGGCCAGTATGAATATAAGAGCCTCTCAGACCATCGGTCTCAGGGGCCTCTTCTGACTAGTGTGGATAGAGGGCCCTCCCAGACCACCGGTTTCAGGGGCCTCCAGTGGCCAGTTATATGAACAGAAGGGCCTCACAGCCATCAGCCTCGGGGGCCTCTTCTGACTGGTGTGAATATGAGGGCCTCTCATACATCAGTCTCAGGGGCCTCCTCTGCCTAGTGTGAATATAAGGGCTTCCCAGGCCATCAGTCTCAGGGGACTCTTCTGACTGGTGCCGGATTGAGGGACCTCCCAGACCGAAAGTTTTGGGGGTCTCCTGTGGCCAGTATAAATAGAAGGGCCTCTCAGTCCATCAGTATCATGGGCCTCTTCTGCCTGGTGTGATTATAAGGCAGAAGAGGCCCATGATACTGCCTTATAATCACACCAGGCAGAAGAGGCCCATGATACTGCCTCTATATATACATCAGAATCATGGGCCTCTTCTGCCTGGTGTGATTATAAGGGCCTCTCAGGTCATCAGTCTCAGGGGCCTCCTCTGACTACTGTGTAGATGGATAGGCCTCCCAGACCATCAGTCTCAGGGGCCTCTTATGACTATTGAGGATAGAGGGGCCTCCTCTGACTAGTGAGCGTAGGGGGCCTCGGCTAGACCGCCAGTGTCAGGGGCCTAAATTTATTCTGACTAGTGTGGATGGAGGGGCCTCCCAGACCACCAGTCTCAGACCTCTGACAAGTGTGGATAGAGGGGCCTCCCAGACTGCCAGTGTCAGGGGCCTCCCCAGACCAGTGTGGAAATTGGGGCCTCCTCAGATCCACTAGGGCCTCTCAGGCCATCAGTCTCAGGGGCTTCGACTGACAAGTATGAACAGAGGGCCTCCTTGGATCCATCACGGCCCCTTGGAGTCCGTGCGTGGGGATTCGTGGAACTTATTTTTACCGAGATTCTGGAGGGTGACGACGTCCTCTCAAATCGAGACGAGGGCCTCGAGTAAAAAGTGGGTGGGCCAAAACACATGGTTGGCCCCCCACATCGAAAAGTGGGTGGGCAGTGGGCACTTGCCCACCTGGCCCCCCTGTTCCTACGCCTATGGAGCCAGGGACCCCATTTTGGCTATCTCAACTCAAATCTAATGTTAAGGTGGGAGGGTCCCTTTAATTCGGTCTGTCACCGCAGTCTGTGTCAGTCTGTGTCACTGTATTTCACTGTAGCCTGTGTCAGTGGGTGTCACAGCAGTCTGTCAATGTGCATTGATTCGGTCTGTCACCGCAGTCTCTGTCAGTCTGTGTTAGTGTGCGTCACCAGTCTGTAGTGTCAGTCTGTGACAATGTGCGTTGATTCGGTCTGTCACCGCAGTCTGTGTCATGGTCTGTGTAAGTGTGCGTCACCAGTCTGCAGTTTCACTGTGTATCACCCCAGTCTGTGTCACTGTGTGTCGCCCCAGTCTGTGTCAGTCTGTGTGTGCTGCTGCATCCCGTCCCACTGCAGTCGCTGTCACTGCAGTCTGCCACATACATATCATAATATCATATACCGGCGGCGCGCTCCTACCGACTGCGTTGGTAGGCTGTGCCGCACGACATCCGCGTTCGGCGGCACAGCTGCTGAACCGAGCTGTCACTCGTGTTACTCACGTCGGCAGGCTGAATTGTCCCGTCCAGTGTCATGAACTGCCTCCGGGGAGAGGAGGGGGGGGGGGGGGAGTTTCAAGGAATCAATGGCACGGATTCGGCCCCGTTTACCGCACATTTGTGCAGGAGCTTTCGGTCGCTGCCTCTACCTAGAGCTCCGCCACAACTTTCCCATGGAAGAAACGTTCAGTTTTAGGTCGGGGAGAATGCTCTTAAGTCTTATATAACTATTCTATTTTTTAGCTATTATCATACAGGTCCGATAGCGATGACATAAGTCACGTCAATTGAGGGCCCCGCCCTCCACTTTTTGGTACGGCTACCCGCCTGTTGTCTGGCGGCTTTCGCTGTCGCTGTTGATCACCTTTTATAATCGAATAAAGCTTTGTATCTGAATGGTTGGGTGGTTGAGTGGTGCCGCAAGCAGGACCTGTTGCGAATGGCACCATGAACACACCACCCGACTTGGCTTGCACCCGGCTCAGGTGTTGATGTTATCTTGTCACGATACTTACTAACTGATTCGCTGTATTGCTGTTTATGTTACTCTAACTAATTGCTTCCATTTTCAGTGGACTGTGGCGAATACATATCTGAATTCGATGGCTATTACTCGTAAGTATGAACTGGATCAATGAAACTTGCAAAGTTTTTTCTGTCGACGTACGTACTGAGGTCGGATCAGCTATGGTATAATTCATGGTAGTACAACAATGTCACTACCACTAGCAAACTATACGTCGAATAAAAGGTGTACGCATTCCAGTTAAGCATGTGTCTTATAGTTTCAATGTAAATGTTGTCTTTTCGACAAATAACTGCCATGGTGAGCTGACCTTGACATTGACCTTCGATTCGAATTTCGACCCTAGCAGTAGCTTCGTCGGGACTCTTATGAATATGCAGTTGATCAATAATCCTCAGCGCAATCCTCGGCGGTAGGTGATCCGTCCAGCGTTTAGCATCACCTATTCTGTTAAAGCCGCAATCTCTGGTATTTATTTGACTCGTGTCTCGAAAATTCAAATCTAAACTGGTCTAAATCTAAAATCTAAATCTTTATCTAAAACTAAATCTAACTTACTATTTGTTTTTATCTATCTAAATCTTTATTTAAAATCTAAATCTAAATCTAAATCTTTAGATCTAAACTTGGTCTAAATTGGCGATGCTCTGTAATCTATATGACCAACAAATCGTTACATTTCAGGAAGAACGATGCCTACGAGTACGACTACATGTGGATGTACGAGGACGGTATGGATCCGGGGTCCGGGTCCGGGATGGATCCGGAGTACGGGTCCGGGTCCGGGATGGAGTCGGAGTACGGGTCCGGGTCCGGGATGGAGCCGGAGTACGGGTCCGGGGATCCGTATTCGACGCACGACACCACAGACGGGTATGGAGGTAAGCCGACACTAAGAAACATACTGAACCTAATTTGACCAAATCTGCACTAAATCTGCACCTGATCTGCACCAACTGTGTACCGTCATGAAAACGGCTAATGCTGATATTTGTTGTTGAATCTGATGTAGAATGGTGGGACAGGGCCAATGCCGCTCGTCTTGAGATCCGTGGTCTTTGACTCCTTCGGTCGCTTAACCCATAGAGCTTGTAGAATATTGTCTGCTTGTGAACGACTGTGCAATGCATTTGTATTATGCGATGCTTCAAGGGTAGTGTAAGTCTTACCATAATCGTGTTTCTCTTGTGACGCTGCTTCGAATGATGCATAATATTTCAGACCCGATGTTAAAGCGACCTTTCGCATCACCATGTGTGTGGCTTTGTAAAGTAAAAGCTTGGCATTGTTTCAACATAACGGTAGTTCAAAACAATGTGCTTTGAAGTAGCCTGGCACGCCTTTTGTCTAGGCCAGCAGGTTCATGCTCGCGCATACTTTATCAACTTTATCGTCAAATATGTACCTTCGGAGGTATGAAGTACCCCAAGCCGCTAGAACCCGACTCGCTAATAATGTGTTGCTTTTACCGGACGTGCTATTGCCATGTCACGTCCAGGGTGTTAGAGTTGTGGGTCACTAGTCACTAGTCGAGTGGCGGCTGGCTCCGAGTAAAACTGCACTGACTGCCGACCGTCACGCCTGTATGTCTCCTGTCCAGTCTGTATGTCCCCCCCCCCCCTCCCCGGCCACAGCGGCCGCGCTTGGCTGTATGTCTGTCTGCCCTCCCGGCGACAGCGACCGCGCATGTCTGTATGTCTGTCTGCCCTCCCGGCCACGGCGGCTGCGCCTGTCTTTATGTCTGTCTTCCCACAGGCGGGACGGAGGGGACCTACGACGCCACGGACGGCGCAGAGTCCACCTTCTACGACGCTTCCACGCCGCCCTTTGACGGTAGGCACCTCAGCGGCCGCGCTGAAGGGCGCCGTCATCATGTGGATGCACAGCCAAATGCGCCGAGAGAAGTTGAGCTCACACCATACTTCAGGCAAATTATGTGCCCTAGTTTTGGCCTGTTTGATTTGCTTTCTGTTGCGTTCAGTTTGAGAGCTTGTGCTGCAAACAAAAGTTTAAAACATATGAAATAATATTTTCGGAGTTTCTTGAGTGATATATATTGAAAAATTAAGTCAATAGTCATACAAAAGTTTAAAACACCTAAGATCTTCATTCGTGATATGATTCGATTAATCTGGGTTCAATGATAATTCTGAATGACTAAGTAAATATTGCATATTGCAAAAACTAAAAAGTAAATATTGCTTGTAATATCGTCCAACCAACAGACAGACAGACAGACAGACAGACACAGAAGTGTAAGGAGTAGGCATTCGAGAAATTCACACGTCTATGATGCATGCATGCATCAATGAAGTGAAGCGACAAACGGCACGATAGGTGGGTATTACCTGTGTTCTTTTCACGGTGACCGCTTCGTATTTTGGGCGGGGCTGCAATACAAACGAAGTAAAAATGGACACAACGTTGTAGCCATCTCTTATCGTTAATGTTTACCTGTATTATTGTCTGTATGGTATCAGTTTTGTGTCATTTGCCTCGTTTTATCTTCTCTCGTCAATTATTTGGTGATGCTCTTACGACTTAAGGCCTGGCTACACTATGCGTTTTCTTCGTGCGTTTTTTGCGTGTTTGCGTGTTTTGCGTGATATCGTTCTAGAAAAAAGAACGATATTACGTTTTTGTGATGTTTTTCACCTTAAATTTTAGTTACATAAGAGTTATATTAGCTTTTGTATATAACCAAAGTAAAAATTATATTGTTTATAACTTTTTTCCTAGAACGATATTACGCAAAACACGCAAACTTGCAAAAACGCACGCAGAAAACGCATAGTGTAGCCAGGCCTTTACACTTTTTTGGCAATCAGGGAAATAAACCGTAGGAAATCGCCATTCTTACGTTATGGTGGTAATTTTGGGAAGCTGAAGTGCTTTTACACACTTGTTGTTTTAGTTGATGTCCTTGGTAGCCTATGATACCTGTATGCCAAGGCAGTGTTTCGCTTTTCTTACCGACTTGAACGATGGGACCAATGATTCCCGTCGTTAGGTACATTATTCATTTTGTCATGAATAATGAACATATGGCTAAGTACAGTCCGCACCACCATTTAATATTATACAACGCTGGCCATCAGGTATGAGTTGTGGCACAGATAACAGTAGTACTGGATTGGAAACAGAATATTGGCAGTTGCAGTAAGAGGCCGAATGTTTTTATGCGACGGCGCCAAAATGGGATTCTCGCGTGCTGCTGGGTGGATAATTTGTGTGTTGTGTATTGCAAGAAATCGTCATTTTTGTGTTTTGTCGTTTACATTTAAAATCGAAGCTACCAATGTTACTTTCATTTGCTTAAAAAATTAAAGTATTTCACTTTTAATTTGATTATTTAGAGGGCACAATGCGTGGTGTTTTCTTTTGAAAACAAAGTGTGGTGCAAAGCCTGACATACGTATAGGTACATCAACAATTGAGGAGGGGAATGAGCGGTAAAAAACACTGCCGTTCTAGCTACAACCCAACGAACCAAGAGGAACAAAAGATTAAAACAGGAGATGTCTCACATGCCACCTATTCGCTTTTCTAACCGAAACATTTCTACAGGCTCAGTGGGTTGGCGCCATGGGTCACCGTGACCGGGCTGAGTGAAATCAGGACTATTCCGCTGCATGTGTGAGCTGCATTTCAGAAAGGAAGATTTCGAAGATGATCGGTCATTTCGCACCGGCATGCAGGGACAGCGCCGTCGGCTCAAGAGCGGCGCAGTCCTGTCAGTATTGACCAGCGTGGATTACGCGATGCCCCCTGTGCACGAGCGGCCAGCGAAACTAGCCATATGACATCCACATGCCACTCACACCAGAAGCAGGTTATGAAGGACCAGACCGATGCGTTCTTCACGAATGACAATGTCAGCTATCAGGTGGCAACTACAACTGGTCGAGTGTCCGACAGTTCCTGGAGAATGAGGCGGTACTCCGAAGTTGAACTAAGGACCTCAGATGGTGGTCACTGGTCACGTTTCAGCCCCGCCGACGCCTCCGCCCGAATGGCACCATCAGCATCACAGCAGGAGTGACAGCAGGATGGTGCTCTTGTCATCCAGGAGCCAGTGGCCGCAGTGGCGAAATCCACTGAAATGGAGGACCTGGATGACAGCGCCAAGGCCTCCCTGGGACACAGCTCTGGCGCCTTGGCACGCTCGGCCACCAGGCGTAACAAGTACGGTGCCTCCGCCAGGCTGCTGATCTATCTTGGGGCTACGCCGCGGGAGGTACGACTGGAGAAAGACGAGGAAGACATCGACCTCACCGTGAGGATCTGCCATATTTGGAGGCAACTGCCGAAGACGGAAGCTAACAGGAACCAGCTGCTGGTCTGCGATCAACCAAGAAGTGACGAAGATAGTCGTAAACCGGGATGTCGAACTGACCGGAAATCGTTTGCAATGATAGCCACGACGTCCTTAGGAGCCTCCTTCCAGAGATGTATGCGACGGTTTTCAATCTATTTGCTGGAAAGTGTGGAAACATGGTAACTGATAAGTGAGGCAGACACTCAAGACAGTGCTGTCCATCGAAAGCCAGGAAGCAGACACCCCAGCGGCAATCTGGTTGCACCCCAGGTGCAACCCGATCGAGGAGCGACAAGAGGCCAAAGCTCAGCAGGGTCAAGAAGATGTAAGGCGGGGAAGTAAGGTCGCTGATGAAATTGGGAGGGCTGGCGAAGCGAAGTGACACTTGAAGGGGTGTTTTGTGGCGTTGGTTTAAATTGTGACGTTTGGATGGTTCGTTGTGACAGGACTGGTGTCGATTAGCATGTAAATAAAGAGATAAAACTCCCATGTACAAGTACTTTTTGTGGATGAGAGTGGGAAATCATTATAATCAAATCAGTGGCATACGTTCCCTCACCACGGTGAGGAAAGTGTAACCAGCAACGTTTAGTAAAATAAGTTGCCATTATGCAAAAAAAAAAAATGCAGCAATAAACACGAGCACGGCTAGATTGCTTCTTTATAAGTTTCATTCACATAAACCAATTTTTTTTTTTTTGCCTGTGTGAGAAGATATCGAAGTCCGGGCACGAAATATTCGGTTCTGTTTTCGGCCTCTTACTGCAGCCACCGGAATCCTGTTTCCAATCCAGTACTACTGTTATCTGTGGTTGTGGCTGTTTAGCACGCGTTGTTTTCATTAACACTACGATATTATTTCGTTTCCATGAATTCAGCAACTGCGAGCGACTCGACTGACGTGCCGGACGGTGGGGCCTCGGAGGGCGCTCAGACTCCGACGGCCGACCCCGGCGCAGAGGACCCGGCCGGTCCGACGGCCGACACAGCGGGCGGCTCCGGTACGGACGGCCCCGCCCCCAGCGGCGCGGGGGAGGAGGCCACTCAGACCGGTAAGCACCCGGCACCGCGCCGACGTCTACATTCCAACACAGCACAGCCCGGCACATCGCGTTCTCTGTCCTCCAGGGACCGCGATAGTCCACTACAAAGGGGTATGCGTGACCAGGGTGGCCAGAACAAGCTGGAACTCAATTACGATGCCACGGTCATGAAATAAATATTAAAGCAGCTCGGGGCCCTCGTATAGATGATTGACTAGCCTAGAATTAGCCCCCCCCCATGCTGTGTAATGCATTAAGTTTGGTACTAATCAGTGCAGGGTGCTATGAGTTTCCATGGCCTTCATTTGGGAATTTGGCTAAGCCTTAATTTTTTTTTTAAGTGCGTGTATAGTTTTGGTATATCGAAACCTCAAATACGTTGTGTAGTGATCCGTACAATATACATTGTACATACACTGTGCAGTGCATTGTATATACCTCCAGGTACGCTAGAGTAACATATTACCATGACCCCATTTCGTCTTATTTTATCATTTCATTTCGTTGCGCCATATTCTACCTAATATATGAGCTACTTATGGCGGCATGACTAATTTTAAGTGTAGTAATACTGTTAACATTTAACGCTAGCCTTAGCACGCTACTACTCACTCCTATATTCTGGAAGTTCCGTCTACTGTACACATTTATCAAAAAGCTTGGTAGCTTGTTGGCTTCTGTTGTGCCGTTAATTGATTGCTTGTGTAGTTTCGGGCCTTGGTAATTTAGCTATGGTCCACCTGAATATGGACTTCGCCATTTTTTTATCGTGAGTGGTATTCTGTAGTGTCAGTGTCACTTCAGACGCGTTTTACTGCAAGCAGCATTTTCTGCGTTTATCCAAAATCAGGGCATATTTAAACGTTGCCGTAAGCTTTTGTCTGATGTAGCATTTATGAAAATGGTGTGCTATCCATTGTCGACTGTAAACAGCCTATTCAGCGCTGTTGTCGACACATTACCTATCATCATTGACTTACACCGTGGGTGCCGCGGTACTTTTCGTCCCCAGTTTTATTAGGTTACCGATCGGGAACTGGAACAACAGAAAACAAAAACGCCGACCAGTCAATCGGTGTTGTTATGTCACACCAAGCCGGCTAGTGCCGCACATTTTAGCGATGGCTCTGATTTCAGATGTGGAGGAGCAGAGTCTCAGAAGGAAGCGGGAGGCGCGCGTCTCTCAGTCTGACCCCAGGCGGAGCCCTGCGGCCGGCGCCGGTGGCGGGGTGCCGCGGCTGCTGCCGCTGACGGAGCCAGAGGTGCCCGGCGCGCGCCGCCGGCTGGTGCTGGTGCGCCGCCGCCGCTCCGCCGACACCACCGAGGTACCCGGCGCCTGGGCCCAACCGGTGAGTCGGCGCTGCACCCAGTCATCCAAGAGGCTAGTTACTACTTTCGATGGTTACTGTGCCGTTAAAGTCGTCTAGTTGAAATGAACTGTGAAGGATGTTTACTGATTTACTACATAACCAGAAATGTATGCCCTCATATGCAACTTCTTCTCGAGTTCGTTATAATAATGGTGATGTGGTTGACGTGTGTGATCGCTTTGTCACAGGAGATGTACGAAGGCTATAACTTTGGTGAGTCTATCGTAGCTTTTACTGGTGGATATATCTGTGGGGCTTACACGGCACCCTTGACAGTAAATGTGAGAGTTTTTGGTCACGTGCAAACGGTCGACTGTTCTCTGATGTAGGTAAATGATAGACAGAATCTTAGTTCGGTCGTCCACGAGTGTTTTTAATATTACGCGCAAATTGCTCCAATAATGTTTATGTTTAATTGGCATAAATGCCGTTGCATTTACGTTTTGTTATGCTTGTTGCTACGCTTTGTTTTAGAATTGATTGTATTTGTTTGAAATGATAAATGAGTGGTAATTAACGCGTTCTGCTTATCGTTTAGATTCATCCAACTACTCGATCACCTATTTCGACCCGTCGTGCAAGTGTCAGATGACCTGCAATCAATATGGCTGCTACCAGGAGGGTAAGCTACTGTTTGGCCACAAAAATAGCTCTATTAGAGCACAAGGAATGGAAATATAGGGCCGGGTGTGTCTGGTATGTTGCAGGAATACTCGAGCCGGTCTTATAGTATAGCGCCACCATCCAACCACCAGGCGTAATTGTTACACGCCGCCGTATCGGTGCGGTACCCGTCCACAGCACACGCCGTCGCGTACGCTGAATTCCTGCGGTTCCAGAAAATAACGGCTGTTTAAGCGTGTTTAACGGTTCTCACGAGAGCCCAACTCCTTACAAACAGCGGTTATTCACGAACGGACGTGAAGTGCTAACCTCATAGAACGGTCAATGTACTCGGCATTTGTTGACAGCACGCTGCTAATATCGATAGTCAATACCAATTACACCAGTTCATCGAGACTGGTTGTGCCTGGTAGCACCCATTACCCATGCGTGCAGTACTTACACGTAATCGCAAAACTGCCGGACGCATTACCGACCTTCCTGCGCCAACGTTGCCCCTCAGACTCCGTCTTTAACCAGCTGGGCAACAACAAGTCGTTCCGCGAGCTGGTGCAGTCGCTGCGGCGCACGCACGGCGACCCGAGCGTGATGCAGCGCGCCTTCACGCCCAGCGTCGAGGAGATCCAGCAGTACGGCATCAAGAGCGCCCAGTTTATCACGGCCTGCACACTGGACGACGCCAAGTGCTCCCACCAGTACGCCGCGGGGCCGCGCTGGGAGGACGGAGGGAGGGAGGGGGGGAGGGAACGGTCGGAGGGAGAGCTGGTCCGTATGTGGAACGGTCTAAGGGATTATTGTCGTCTGGGAAACGATTGGGAATCGTCTCAGTGAGGTAGCAGTTGAAGAACGGCCTGATTAAAGGTATTCGTATTGAAAATGGCTGGAAAGAATACGCGACAATAGGTCTCAATGAATTGAAATACATAATTATATCAAACAAACCCATTATCTGTTGCCTGTGCTAAGCTGATAAAATAAAACCACACGTTGTTACCACTCGATAAGTGCAGTGTTTAAGTGATGCACGCTGTCCACAGGGACTTTTACCAATGGCAGAGTGATGGCTACGGCAACTGCTTCACGTTCAACTCTGGGTTCCGCTACGCTTGGAACCAGGCCACCGGAAAGCTGGAGCACGTGAAGCCCAACAAAACCAGGACGTTCGGCTCCAAGGTGGGCGGCAGGAACACTCATGGATGCGGCGTGTGTACGTTTGTGTGGCGTGACATGTCTCACACTGTCGTACCATCTGACGAGGCGTGCCTTCTGTCGTTATGAAAAGACATCTCGTTTGGGCGAAACGTGTGATGACGTATGTTGTTTGACGTATGATGACGAGACACGACGTATCGTGTCTCGTCTCGTGCCGTGCCGTCCCACCCTCTGCTGTGACGCGTCCCGTGCCCGGTGCCGTCCTCAGGCGGGTCTGCGTGTCACGCTGAACGTGGACGCCGGCCACTACTCGTCGCTGCTGACCCCGGACGTGGGTGTGCGCGTGGTGGTGCACCCCACCGACCAGCTGCCGTTTCCGGAGGAGCGCGGCTTCAGCGTGGTGCCCGGCTTCACCACCGCTGTCGGCATCAGCAGGGTGCGTAACTGACGGCGCTGAGGGCGGGAGGGCGGCATCAGCAGGGTGCGTAACTGACGGCGCTGAGCCCTGAGGGCGGGGGCCGGCTGCTAACGACCCCCGGGTCTGCCGACCCTGGTCAGAAGAGAGGCCGCTGGATTACCACTGTAGGGATTTAAATGAACAGCACACAATGTTTATTGGCAGTAGCCAATAGCGGAAGATGTTAGGTTACTTGCAGCCACCCTTCCCGACTGTATCTCCTGACGTCCATGCCGCAGCTGTGGCGCTCGTCACTGAGCCACACCAAAGCTGAACCGATCATGGTCTCGCTGACCTTCCGGAGCGAGAGCAGTTATGACGTCTCCTCTGTCGATCACAATCTCGGTAATCATCGGGCGTGACCTCAGATAGATAGATGACGTCTGTTGCACCCGTTACAGAAGCGGATCCACCGCGTGGGCCCGCCGCACGGCGTGTGCCGCGAGTTCGCCGAGTTCTTCGGCGGCCGGGAGCTGCGTTACACGACCACGGTGAGAGCGCGTCAGCGGGTCGCCGGGGAGCCGAGCGGTCAGCGGGCGGGGTCAGCGTCCGAGCGAAACATGGCGGCGTGCTGATTCTGCAACAATAATCTAGTAGCGGAATAACATCAATCCCGGTAATCGTGGTTATGCCTGGGAATCGTTGCCATGTTGATGAGAAGAGGTTTCCTCCCCGCTGACAGGCGTGTCAGAAGCGGTGTGTGGAGCACGCCATCCGCACACAGTGTCAATGCATGGAGTCGGTGAACCGCGACCTCACCATGGGGCTGACGCGTGGACTGGCGCGCTGCAACCCGCTCGTCAACAGCACCGCAGGTCAGTAGTGGGGGCGCGGCAGGTCAGCGGCACACCAGGTCAGGTGTCAGTGACAGCAGCGACCCGCTCGTCAACAGCACCGCAGGTCAGTCGTCAGCGGCCAGCGGTACGCCGGTACATACAGGGTGTCCCATAAGTTCGTTCTCACATTATGTTTGCATGTGAAACAGAGTACATTGCGTTTTGATATATTTATGACCCCTCAATGTGCTCCCCATTTAATAGGCAAACACATGAATACATGCTGCGGCATGCCAACCGGCATGTTTGGCTGCATAGCAGGCTTAAAGTTAACCCAGACTGACTTGACATGCGCCGTGAGCTCCTCGAGGCTGGAACAGCGCTACGCTTCGACGAGCCTCAATTTCAGCACAACCAACAAATTTTTATGAAATTTTGATCCGATGAGGTGCCTGGCATGTGATCTTGCCACAAACGCCTGTCACAGTCTCCTTGCACAGCTTTTAAGCTTTGATTGACCTGTGCACTGATGCACTGTCTTGCCTGAAGATGGGCCTACGACCTCCCGGATGCCATTTTCTCCTCTATAAATGTGTTCATACTCGCGGTTTGAGTTCAGCTTGAGGGCTGAAACTCCTCCTAGATGTTCTTGGAAAAGCATTCTGCTTCCCAAAACTGTTTCTGGGTTGCCACTTGCAACTTGGTCAACTCCAGAACGCCTATAACCCCACAACACAGTGACCCTGGCCTTTTGCATAGGAAAATAACGGGACGAAACGGAGGCCTCCTCCTTCGCCCTTATGGGGTTGTTTTCGGGTTTGGACGGGTGTTTCATCTCGATCGTGGACTAGTTAGTCCAGATGACTTGGTTGATGTCATCAACCCTCTAGTTTTGTTTAGCCGCAGGCATAACGAGACTCATGTTTGGCCATTTTAAGACGTTTTTGACTGTTTTGTGCCCTCCGGTAAGCAAAGCTTAAGTCACCTTGAGTTATGTACCCCGAAAGAACCCTCTTAGACAGCTGGTAATCCATCCTGAAAAGTCTGCTTACCAACTTTCTAACTCTTTGACCTTTTTGATGGCCACTTTGGCGCCACACAGTTTTGGCCACTTGGCTCACTCCTGAGGGCTGACTGGAAAGAGGATAAACTTGCAGTGATTGACTCCCGACAAATCATCGGCGTCACCTGCTGACTGTGCGTAGAGTTAGCGATGGACATTGGCTACAGACTGGTAGGCCTCAATCACCCTCAATAGTCGCGAATGGTCACGTGCTGACTAAATACTGAGACGTACCCGTATCGGAGACCTCTATGTTGCGGCGTTAGCCGTCTCTGTAGGAAGCGGGCTCTCCAGCAAAAACTATTTTGCCTACAGAAATTAGCTACTGTGGAGCATATTTCTACCAGCCATGGCAACCACGTAAGCTCAGTTACGAACCAATTTCAGCGTGCCTTTAAGCAAGAGAGCCTAAAAACGTAAAATTTAGGTGAGAACGAACTTATGGGACACCCTGTACATACCTCAGATCAGGGGTCAGTGACCGCAGAGACCCGCTCGTCAACAGCACCGCAGGTCAGGTGGTCAGTGGTGAGTGACTGCGGTGGAATGAGAAGCATCAGAAATCGTCATATGAGAGGATCATTTGCAAATTTATATGAAACATTGCCGGCTCTCTCGAACCACTACTGCGACGCATGTAACGATGCACGCCAACGATTATTAACCGGTATCACCCATCGGTTAATATCAGTTATATACCTCGGTGATACCGGTTAAATACCGATTAAAAAGTCGATTGTTAACCGTTAATTGGTGTGTTTCAGACCGGTGTCGCCAGCAGGTGAAATCCCAGTTCAGCCGCGGCAAGAGCACCTGCGACTGCCCGCCCGCCTGTCTGTAAGTTCCCGGCCCGGTCTGTCAGTGACTTTCCGAGCCTAGCCCGGCCTGCCCGCAAGTTCCCGGCCCGGCCCGAGTGTGAGCCCCGGGCTCTTGTCTGTCTTTGATTCCGTGACCCTGGGCCGGCATGCCTGTGAGCCCCTGGCAGTCTGTCTCTGATTCGGCTTGTCTGTGAGTTCCCGATCCTAGCCCGGCGTGCCTGTCTAAGTTTCCGGCTCCAGCTCCCTCACTAGGTGGTCTGCCGCAGTTTCTGTCGCAGTTTACGCTCCCAGTAGCGCAGGTTACGCCACCGTCGTCCTCGCCCATATGCCGAGCTTGCGTATCGAAACCGACGACCGTCCTGGCGCGAGTTAGGTGATCTGGGAGTCGACAATAATTTTCATGACATGCTAAAAAAAAGAGTAATGTGTGCGAATACCGCGGAGCCGAACACCGCTCTTTTACGGCATTTTCAAAGAATCTGAGGAGTGTGAACAAGCCTCTTCCAAGCCTCTTCCTTGTCACACCATCTCTGGTCATAATGTTATGTATGGCCAGCTGAGGTGTTGTTTGAATATTACGGTCTATCGACATGTGTGTTTCCCGGTTTGTTCTCCTGTGTTTCGGCCTCCCCCTCGGCCTTGTGTTTCGGCCGATTTCCCCGCCCATTCAGCCCTGTGTATCGGCGGATTTCCCCGCCCACTCAGCCCTATGTTTCGGCCGATTTCAGTGAGGACCGGTACGAGAAGGCTCTGTCGATGAGTCTGCCCAACAAACACTACTACCGAATTATGCGCAACTTCACCGACGAGTTCACCGGCACCGATCTCTGTGAATCGTGAGTTAACGAGTTAATCCTGAGTTAACCATCCGCCGTTAATCCTGAGTTAACCATCCGCCACCGGCACCGATCTCTGTGAATCGTGAGTTGACGAGTTAATCCTGAGTTAACCATCCGCCACCGGCACCGATCTCTGTGAATCGTGAGTTGACGAGTTAATCCTGAGTTAACCATCCGTCACCGTCAGCCATCTCTGTGAATCGTGAGTTAACGAGTTAATCCTGAGTTGACCATCCGTCACCGTCAGCCATCTCTGTGAATCGTGAGTTAACGAGTTAATCTTGAGTTAACCATCCGTCACCGGCACCGATCTCTGTGAATCGTGAGTTTTTGTTCTTCAGCAGGTTTTGTTTGAACGAGTTGTGGCTGCTCGCCGTATATTGCTATCATCATCTTTCATCGAGTTTCGTGGAGTGTAGTGAAGTAATTATTACCAGGTTACCCGCGTTATCCCGAAATCGTGTGGTAATACTGCAAATCATTTCACACACTGAATGTAGCGGGGCGTAAAGCGCTATCCCCACACCGTGTACGCTGCCGCCGACCTCTCAATGCCTGTGGCCCCCCGGTATCTTCTGCGCCCTCTGACGCGTCTCCCTCGCCCGCCATCACAGGGACAACATCTCGAACAGCACGATCCGACTACAGGTGTACCTGGAGGACCCGTCGTACGAGTACATCCACGAGTCGCCCGCCTACTCTGTCGAGTCGCTCGTCTCCAACATTGGCGGCGTGATGGGCCTCTGCCTGGGCCTGTCGGCGCTGACGCTGGTCGAGATGGCCGAGTACCTGGTGGAGCTGACCGTCAGCGGATGGAGCAACTGGCGCAACCGCGGCGAGCGCGCCGCCGCCCGCTCCGGCATCAAACGCGTCGAGGTGCTGCCCTCCGACCCCAGCACCGGCATGCAGTGTGAGTCGGCGGGGAGGGGGCTGGAAGATCGGGTGGAGAGGGTTGAATGGGCTGTAGAGGGGATGCTGGCAGGAGGGTACGGAGGGGAAAATGTGCGTCAGGCACAGTGCGGGCTAGAAAACTGACGCATCTCAGGCTAAGACGCATCTCAGGCGGTAGGGATGTAAGTCACAGTTCGAAGAGGAATGGAGATAAGTCAGAGCTGGGCTGTGAATGAGAGCTTCCACGTGAAAATAAAAATGACTGATATAAAGGTCAGCAATATAAATTTATCACTTCCTGGGGTAGCACGGTAGATCTAATCGTCCTTTAAACGCTGCCGTTGTCGGGCGGGGCCGGGGCTGACTGTAGTTCGCGGTCTGGCCGGTAGGTGTCACCATCATCCACACGTTCGAGCGGCCGCCGCCGACCGTCGTCGAGGAGCCGCCGCCGCCCAAACCGCCGCAGGCAGAGCGCGAGGCGCAGACCAAGGTGTCGCTCACGTTCTTCGGCAAGCGGAAGCTGCGCGCCAAGAAGGTGGCCGACGCCAAGAAGTCGCGCTCCAAGAGGGCGCACAAGGCGCGGCGCTAGTCGGCCGGCCGGCCGGCCGCTCGGGCGTGTGGATGGTGAGACGGGCAGAGAGAGGGAGGGAGGGCGAGCAGAGGGGGCGGACAGAGGAGGCTGAGCGCGCCGGTCCGTTGCAGACATCCGCGTGGTACACCGGTTCGACGTTCGTCCGGAGACGGTGGTGAAGCCGTGGATACCGCCGCGGCTGGCCGACGCCGCCGTCAGCACCCTGGTCTCCCTGCCGGCCGACAGGGTCAACGACCGCGCCTGGATGAAGCCGTGAGCCGGCCGGGACACTGCCGATCCACCGGCGCCCCTGAGCGGCCACCGCCAGTCCAGCGGCGCCTCTCAGCGGCCGGTCCAGCCGCCCAGCGCGGAGTTGGCCAGTCAGCGGTCCAGAGCTCAACAGGGCGGTGAACCGTCCAGTTTGGGCAGGGCGACATATGTTTCAGTTTTGGCTGATTCTGACAGCTTGGTATTGCTAATGTAGAAGGGTATACTCTGTTCCGTTTCAAGCTTGCGGCCGAAGTACCCTGCTGAAAGCAGTGCGTGGTTTCTGTCCTACGACTCTTACATTACAGACGCAAATTGTTGAGCGGAGGAGCGATCTGCCGAAGAAACTCCGACCGCAAGCTTGATATGAAACAGAATATAGCGAAGTTTATTTGCCGAAGCTGGTGACCTAATGATAAGAACTGAGCCATTCATGATCTCTTACATTTCGCCTTGCTTGTTTATTCCACAAATTTGTAAACAATTATCAGATCACGTCTGCATAACGCTATGCGTTTTGAACGCCTGACAGATGATGATATCGATGGCACTGTGTACTCATCGCTCACCCGTTGAGGCTGTTGACACGTCTGGTTGTGTGCATTTCGTCAGTATTTTATCGTTGCCCCATTCATTGATCGCATTGTAGCACACGCACGCTGAAAAGGTCGTACAGCGAAACGATTTATGGTACAGGGTGTCCAGAAAAAAAAGATACTACGGAAATTAAGTCGCATTCATTAACGCACGTGCCGATTTTGTTCCAAATTCATGTGCTTATAGTGCAAGATTTGGCAAAACTCATGAGCAATGTAATGCGTCGTTGGAAAGTTGTCTGCTTGCCCTCCGAGATGGTCAACATGACCATCAGTCACCTGCAGACTGTGCTAGTGCTGGAGCTGATCCGCCGTACGGCCGCTCACATTGAGTATCTGCTTTGAGGAGCTGCCGCAACTAACCAAAGAGTTAACATGCCATGTGGCACCTGCTGTCTGTTTTGCCATATTTTGGCGAATACAAGCATGTGCTATTTTAAAATGTAAGGTGTTTATTTTCGGAATTACAGCAAAAAATAATAGTATCCGTTTTTTCTGGATACCCTGTATGTGTTATCTGCTGAAATGCAGGATGCAGGCAGCGTGATTGCCTACACTCATTAGCAAATGTACCAAAATGTATGCTGTACACATCGGCAACATGCATAATTCACACTGATTTTTTGGTGTTATGCACCTATATTGCGCGAATTCATATTCTCTTCCGTCATTTAAGTCGTTATATTAATTGTATGTAAGCTTCGTTTTTAGAAGTGTTTAGCGAACAGCGCCGAAGACAGATATGAATATGTTACGTTTCAACAAGTAGGATTGCCATAAATATGATATATTTTTTATTGTTTGCCATCCGATTCATCTCCCTTTCAGTACTGATTGAGATAGAAACCTATGGTTCACATCATTTAGCAACAACCGAACGCACGGCCGCAATCAGTACAAACCCGAATGGACATTACCGAACTTTCACCTTAACTTTGATCTGCATTGACATATTGTGTATTAATTATTATGTATATACTCGTGTGTGCATATAAATACATATTGAGTTGGATCACAATGGCACTGTTTCACGATGGAACCCGGAAGAGAAACACAGAGTGGAAACGGCGGTCGTTCGGTTTCGCTTCGGCAAATACAGCCATATGGTTCCTAATTCCTATTTTATTGATCGCTATATAAGATCTCTTTGCAGTATGCATACAACCAGTCACTCAGCTCTTGATCAAGCTACCTACCGTGTCTAGTTATCTATCAACCATGTTCAGGAGTATATCTACCCTGACGTTTATCCCGAACATCAGTTCATAAGTTCTCCTTCATTAGTCCCACCAGTCACATATAAAACATCAGCCACGACCCCCATCCCCCCTCCACGCCCTGTGCGCGGGCGGCCCACCTGTCCCTACGGCTCCCGGTCGGGTGGGCCGTGCCGCTCGCGCAGGGAGTAGCTGCCGTGCTCCTCCGTCACCAGGCCGTCCTTCACCAGCTTCGACAGGTGGTGCTCCACGTTCACCGAGGCCGGCCGGCGCATGTACACCGGGATGTCCTGTCGGACAAACGGGACCGGTCACAGTATGTTATATATACGGACCGAACAGTCGGTCACGGTAAACATATGTAGTGAACAGCCGGTCACGGGTCTGAACGCTTTATACGGACGATCAATCGACTGAATTACCGGTCAGTGTCACGCATGGTAGAGCCTGACGGCCGAGTGAACAAGCGGTGTCACGCATGTTACGCATGATAAAGCAAGACTGTTAAATGGTACGTCAGTGTTGCGTATGATAAAAGGTCAGCATTACGCGTGGTAGAGCCTTACGGCAGAACGGCCGGCCTGTGTTACGAAATGAACATGTGGTGCCGTGGGCTCATTCACCCACACGCCGCCTGGCGACAGCGGTAGTTTGGACAGGTGCTGGTCCAATCCGCCGAACAAGGCGACAGGTATAACGAATACTTGGTGAACTTGTTGGGTTTTTGTTGTTTAGCTGGGTTTACAGATACTGACCGTGTACACGGCTGTGACGGTACAGCTGGGTTTACAGGTACTGACCGTGTACACGGCTGTGACTATATCGGTGACTGTACAGCTGGCCGACTCGGCGTTCCTCAGAGCCGCCAGGATCTGCTGTTCTCGCTCCCTGCGGTGGTCCATGTAGAACTGAATCTTCTCGATCGGGTTCTGAAACAACACGACGGCACAATTTAGCATAACAGCCAGTCTCCTTACACCCAGCCCCCCCCCCCCCAAAAAAAAACGCTGGGAATGCCGGTCAGCCGACAGAATGTTGCGCACAATTTACTAGACGGTTGCTAACCAACCTTCCCCACCCTCCACCCTCATCTGTGCCACGGGCCCGTGGCCCGGGTAGATGGCGCTGGGCCGCTGAGCCGCAGTCCCCCCCCTCCCACCCCCACCTGTACGACGGGCCCATGCCCCGGGTAGATGGCGCTGGGCCGCAGTACCCTCTCCCCCCCCCCCCCCCCCCACCGCTTACCTGTACAACAGGTCCGTGACCCGGGTAGATGACGCTTGAGTACACTCTCCCCACCTGTACGACGGGCCCATGTCCCGGGTAGATGGCGCTGGGCCGCAGTAAGTAACCCCCCCCCTCTCCCCCACCCACCTGTACGACAGGCCCGTGCCCCGGGTAGATGGCGCTGGGCCGCAGCTGCAGCAGCAGCTCCAGCGAGGCCATGTAGTCGGCCAGGTCCTCGAACACGGCCGTCGTCTCGCCAAGGATACAGTCGCCGCTGAAGATGACGTTTCCCTCGGACATGTGCAGCACCACGTGGTCAGTGGTGTGACCCGGCGTGTGAACCACTCTGCGAGGGAGAGTGCGAAGCGTCAGCATACGCTGGACATCCGCGTATCCAATCATTGTACAATAGGTGACTGAAAATGAACACCTGAAAGATGGATTTGTGCAACAGCAAAAGCTTCTAGGACCTAGCAGTCTACAGCTCACTGGGAAAGTAATGTCTGCATAAAGCTTCAGGTTGCATGCATAAAAAAATGTTTACCTAAACTACAGTAATCTGACTGTACTGTGTAAACGTGCTTCATATCGCAACATTTTTCACCCATTCCGAGTAACGCCGCACGGAAGGTCCACTACGGTGTCACGTCCCTGCCGCTACCCCACCGTCAAACACCTCAGTGTGGTCCTTGACGGAGGGTTAGCCTCCGTTACACACGTCAGTGTGACCCCCTCTCCCGTAGCACAACTGAGAGTGGTCATCTTCAGGCCGCCCTACACTGGACCTCGCATGCGGGTTGCGAGTTTTCAGGCTTTCGGATTTCTTTAAAATTAAGGAATATACTATATGTTGAGTGACCCACACCACCAAGTAACAACCCAGTCTGCATGTTTTTAGCATGCGAGCCAACTTGCATCGCATTCCAAAAAAATTGATTTTGAGTCAACTTTCGATTTTCCTCGCCTCGCGAGTTTTGGTGTTTTGTTGAAGTCGAATTTTGGTTTGTTGTGCCGTTATTGCGATAATATGCAATTTTCTGAGGGTGTACCGGCTTCACTGCATTTATGAAGTTACCATAAGAGAATGGTTTAATCACTCCAAATGAGTATTTGGTGGACCCGCGAATCCAAAACCCGCAGACCCATGCGAGGTCAAGTGTGGGGCGGCCTTTCGTTGTGATCACCTCCCCGTCCTTCAGCGGCTCCACACCCGGCGTCACACACCCGAGTGAGACCCCTACAGAATACTCACCTCAGAGTGGCCCCCTCTGTAGTGATTAACTCCCCGTCATTCAGCGGCTCCACGCCCGGCGCGTCCGCCGCCTCCGGCCGCGGGAACTTCCTCGCCGGAATGTCTGAAAGGGATGTCAGTAACAGTTAACACCCGACACTGCAGAGTGACAGGCCGACCGGTCAATACAGGCTCGATAGGCCTCACGGTGAGCAATCGGAGAAAGAACATCGGGGAACATGAGAGAAAAATAGAGAAAATAAGTTCGCTATTACTGCTCAACACAGTACACAGCACAAACGCACAGAACAGAACAGAACATCAAGCAACAACAGCAGGAGGTAAAAGAAGCAGCGCTTCAGATGCACGACCACGTCCCATTATACTCGATGACTGAGCCCCATAGCCACTCCGCTGCCGTCAGCGGAGCGCCCCCGGCCCCCGGACGGATGCGGGCACCTCTGTCCTGTCGGACACCCCTATCCTTTCGGGACACCCCCGCCCTCCCGGACCGCTCACCTCCGAGCCGCCGCCGCAGGTCGGCCAGGCCGCCCACGTGGTCCGAGTGCCAGTGGGTGATGACGATCTCCTGCAGCTGGACGTCCGCCTCTCGCAGCACACCCTCCAGCCGGTCCACGTACTCGGGCACCCCGCTGCTACCCGTGTCCACCAGAACGCGGCTGGAGGCCAGACATAGGGGACAGGGGGGGGGGGGGTCAGCGGCGGGAGACAGACTGAACAGTCTGGCATGGACAGACCAACTCCGGCACGCCGCTGCTGCCCGTGTCTACCAGCACACGCCTGACAGTGGGGGCACAGGGTATGGGTGGGGTCAGCAGCAGGGACAGACTATGAACAGGGACAGAGTGACTCAGGGCAGGGACAACCCCAGAAAGAGGATTGCCAAACTTCAGAAAAAGACATCCTTCCGACCTTCCAGCCATGACAAAGCCAGCCGATTCTCCTGTCAGAGCAAATTTTTAAACCCCCAGACCCGGGGCCCGCCGTGCCTCGTCCGGTGACGATCCTCACGGTGCCTCACTCGGAGCCACACGCCGGCCCACGCGTTCGTACCCTCCCACTGACCACTTGTATCCTCCCAATGACCGCTTGTACCCTCCCACTGACCACTTGTACCCTCCAACTGATCATTTGTACCCTCCCGGCTCCCACTCACCGTTTTCCGGTGCCGACCAGGTAGGTGTTGGTGCCCTGCAGCGTCATCGGACTGGGGTTGCAGCCCAGCACACGGGTCACCGTATCGGAGAGCGCGGTCACCCCCGGCAGGGGCGTCAGCTGGCTCTGCATCCCGAACCTCTGGAGCCAGCCGAAAGCCTTGTACACGACACGCATCAGCATCCCACCGGTGCGCCGCGCGGGGAGGCCGGCCGCGCTCTGCGGGAGGGAACACAGGTCACCGCGCGGCCATCAGCATCCCACCGGTCCGCCGCGCGGGGAGGCCGGCCGCGCTCTGCGGGAGGGAGCAAGGTCACAGCGCGGCCGGAACACGCACCTGAATCAGCGCATGTTATACTGGGAGGGGGGGGGGGGGTTGGCATGGATACCACAGCTCCCAGCTGAATAAATACCAACTCATGATCAGCCACCGACTGTGTGCCAGACACCGACAATTCCGCACTGAGTGTTAACAGCTCGAAATCAACGCCTTTCCCCAGCTAGCCTTGACATCTGCCGTGTGCGTGTTTGCCGATGCTGGGAAGCGTGGGCACAAGTGCAGCAATACCAAACGTGTTTTTCAGTAACTCACAGAGACGAGTGGCAAGGTATTGCTGAAAACGAGTGTATCTATCATTCCTAGACCCGACAGCTCAGTTTGAATGGTATCTCTTATGAACATAAGGCTGCCTATTTTGTTTTACTTTGTCACGATGCCAGTGGTGAAATTGTACCAAGTTTTTCCATTTCCCTTCCCTATACCGTATCCAAGACCGTCCTAACAGTGGTTAGGTACCTCTCCGTTTGCCAGCACAGGTAATAGTAATGTGTAGCCCCAAAAGTATTTGCTATTTCGAGGGGAATAATTCGACCTCTTATGGCAAGCGTCTAGACTATCAAACGTCATGCATAATAACTTATTTCTATGGTACCGGCGTGTCAGTAACGCCGCAATGAAATATGAGATCTCCGTTTAACATGGAATCAATAAACAAAACACCCAGCAAGCCCATCCCAGGAGTACATAGCAGGACCTGGCCCAGAGGATCGTCCGCTCCACTATCAGCCGACCCCGAAATCAACATATAAAATCAGATATATCATAGCGCAAATCAATAAAGGGCAATTCCCCTAAAAGTCTCAGTATATATAATTCAATACTTTATATTTCAAACCAGCCTCGGCAAACATATTGAAGAACAATGCACGAAAACAGATTTAAAACGATATTAACTGGGATAAATTGGCAGTTTTTCCCGGGATACTCTAAGCAATCTAAGCAAAGTGCACCCGTTCGCTGCAGTCACTGTCTGACACATGTCAACATTGCCGTTTCTTAAACATCTGCACAATTGATTGAATTTGGTGCCAAAAGTAAGCAGCATGAGGCGAGCTGATGCAATGAGAAAGAAACGAGCATATTTAGGAAAACTTGACCAACAAATAATCAGAAGACAAGTACCGAGGCCATATTATCTCATAACACGACACTTGGAAGCGAAATTCCACAATCAAAACAAGCAGCAAACCCCAGAGGCACAATCACGACGCCGCGCCCAGTACAAGTCTCACCAATACCGCAGTCACAGCAACAGCAGGCATAATCGGTGCTTCAGTCTCAATCTGTCTGAGCGGCTGCAGAAACAGTCTCAGTTACCGTGGCAACGGTCTTGATTACCACCGCAGTCGCAGTTCCAGTCACTGCAGTGAGCAGTCTCAGTCCCAGCCGCTGCAGTCACAGTCTCGGTTGCCGTGGTACCGGTCTCGATTGCAACTGCAGTCAGTCCTAACCACCGCAGTCTCTCCGTCCATCTCCGATCACAAACTCCCGCGCTCCGCTCAGAACTCGGTCATGTTAGAGGCACAAAACCGCTGGATGTCGTCCATGCTCATACTGCCCAGCCGCTGGTCGAACTTCTTCTTGAACTCGGCCAGGAACCGGTCAGCATCCCCCTGTCCCAGGCAGCGCTCGGCCAGGGTGCGGAGCGGCGTCCACGGATCGGGTCCCGCCGGCGCCGGCTCCAGTTTGATGGCCGCCGGCGCCGGGGCCGCGGCCGCGCTCTGGGCAGCCGCCGGGGCCGGGGCCGGGCTCTGACCCGCCGCCGGAGCGCCAGCCGCGGGTTTGGCCGTCACCAGGAACACCTTGGCGCCGTCTGTGAGCCGGCACGCCGTCATCGTGTCGTCGTCCTGCAGCGTCTTGCCGCGGAACACCAGCTTCTGGGAGGCGCGCGGCACGCCGAGTCGCGACTCGACCAGCGTTTTCAGCATGGAGACGGTGGCGCTCTCGGACACCTCCAGTTGACACTCGGCGCCCTGCAGGATCTTCACCGTCAGCTGCATCGCGCCGCCTGAAACAGCCGACGGCCGCGTCACCCGCCGCCCGGCACCGGACCCACATAAACGCATAGCACCGCGAATGATGAAAACACACCATATTCACATAATGTACAAGCCACAAAAGAAAAGAAAAATAACTTACACGTAAACTGAGTAAGAAATACATGACAGTAGGTCAGTCAGGTGATAAAGGCGTAATATTGGACAGTATTAATGATCAACTCGCATGTTCAGATCGAGCCCAAAGACATACGATACGATTTGAAAAAAAGGAATGTATAATCATGTGTATTGATGCCCGCAAAAAGGCCGAAAAGGGTGCTGTCTTTACTCTGACAAATAATCAATTTTACACACCAACATTGATTGTCACATGTGAAGAAAGAATAGGTATCACTAAACAAGAAAGGTGGGTCAATATTCCCGTGAAAGTAGAGAGAAATAAAATGAACCGCACCAGACACCAAATATCTTGAACTGGATAAGTTACCTACTCTTGAGCCTGTCCCAATACTCGAGCGAAACAGCGACAACATGAGTCTGCTATTTTCATAACAGGAATAGAATCAGACCGGCACATGATCAGATGTAGCTCGGTGTCCCGTTAACATTATGCATCACATTCTCCGTGAAAAAAGGATCTTCAAACACAGCGGTGGTCGCGTAGTCGAAAGGTAATCTGCCGGCCCGCGCCAGTACCTATAGGGGGTGTCGAACGGATCCCCTCGGTTTTTCGCGAATAACTCGCGTAAAAAGTGGCGATCGCCACGAAGCTTTCAGAACCCTCGAGTTAATCAATTTCCCACCTACCCTGAAAATTTCAGGAACCCTGACCCAAATGACTTTTGACCAGTGACCTATTTTTCGAGACCATGTTTGGCCGGAATCGCGATTCGGCGTATGTCGGCTCGCATTTTCGTGGTTTCAAGCGTTTAAACTTGTAATATCAATATGATGTTGGTCCCATGCATAAGGGTGTATACTTTATACTGTATGTCGAGGTCACCTGAAGGTCAGGTCAGGTCCTTGACCTTTGATGACCTCGGTTCATTTTTCGAGTTTTACATGTTTCTAGGCTAGTTCTTGGAGCTGAATTCGAATTTAGCAACTATTTGAACATTTACGAAGTAGTTTTGGTGCCTTCGTAACATACTACGAAGCTGTCAGAGGCATCTACCACGAATACCTGGCAGTATCCCTACTAATTGACCTGACCTGACCCGACCTAGTCAAAATGCATGAAGACATTATCTGACTGTGATCAAAACTAATATGCTATTCGTGATCAGCACCCCGAAAACCCCATGGCAGCCACACTTTATGACGTTCTAACAGGTCCCGATTTTTCCGACTTTTGGGTCATTGACCTGACCTGGAAGGTCAACCAATGACCTACGATCTTAAAATTGGATATCATCGACCTCCTTTCCTCACGGGCAGCACGCTCGTTTTTTTTCCGCGAAGCTCTAGCTCGATCAGGGGGCATACGGCAAGGGGGGGTCCAACGGACCCCCCCCCCCCCCTCTACGTTCGCGGCTGACAAAACACCAATACGGGCGAGGATTAAATTGTCAAATTGTCAATCATTGACTGGATGCTGCATTTCTTAAACTAAACAAGAGTTTCTCTATCAAATCATATTATACAAATTAACTTATATCTGAACAAGTCAATTCTGCAGCTCTTGTCTGTGAACCAATTAAAGGGACCCTCCCACCTTAACATTAGATTTGAGTTGAGATAGCCAAAATGGGGTCCCTGGCTCACAATTACCGGATTCGGCACTCACAACATCGAGAAATGCCTTAAATCGGAAATATTGAATTTCAAAATTGCAGCATTTTGATTCAGAGGGGCTAATGCTTAGGAATACCCCTCTGAATGTGTGACGTCAGCGCAGATATCTAACGGTTTTTAAATGTTTGACTAAAACGTTTTGTAGCACGCGGTGGTATATGCTATTTGCGCGCAACATCTGCCGCAAACGCCACACTTCTAAAATAAAGTCGCTAGAAACAGCGGAGATCCCAAAAAAGTAAACAAAAGTAAAAGTGTAATATCTTGAAAACCGGTGAATATTTTTCGGTGAAATTTGGTAGATATTCGTTTTCGCTCTTTCTGAACCGAGCAACATCACTTTCATGCCAATTCATAAACTTTTTTGAAGGTGGGAGGGTCCCTTTAAGTGCCCTTTAAAATGAAAGAGGTAGGCCAGTTTGGAAAAATCCATATACTATGCCGGACGCCTTGGGGGCAATCATTGCCGAAATTCGGTGCAAGCGATTTTGCGCTCTTGTGACATGACTTTCAACAAAAGTGCATGCTTGTTTGTGCCAAAGCTTAATTCCAATGGTCCGAGGGCCGTCACAAATGTCAACCCAGGGATAGGGGTAAATGTGAAGATGAAGCCCAAGTAGAAAAAAAATTAACATGGCCTAACATTACCTACTTACTACCCTACTCAACAACTACAACCTACATCCCTAGGCATATGTGTAGATGAAGTATGGTTGGTAAGTTGGTAGGTTGTAGATTTGTAGGCTGTAGGTTGGTAGGTTCAATGTTGTAGGCCAGTAGGTAAGATTAGGTCAGGTTAGATTATGTTTTTTATCTTCACTGTACTTCATCTTCACTTTTACCCATCCCTACAACCTATCAACCTACCTACCAACCGCAGTATTCTTCCTACCAACCTACCAATTGGACTTCAGCTTCACATATACCAGGGTCCAGGATAGGTGGGTACTCAATTCCCAGACTGGAAAACATCCATACACTACGCCGGACGCCTGTGAGACCCTCTTGCGCCGAAATTCGGCGCAAGCGATTTTGCGCTGAGATTTCTGCATGATTTGCGCCAAAAATGGGGTGCCTATTTGTGACAAAATTAAGCCACTTTTATATAAAGCACATGTGCACATCTACCGATCAAGGCCATATCAACCAGACAGAGCATTCCGGGGCCTTGGACGCTCTCCCATGTTTGATTGTCCGAATAAGTTTTTTATTTCCACAGAAACCCAATACCACCTCAATACGCTTAGCGCGCTGTAGCGTCGTGCCGTGAAACAAGGCCGGAGCCACTTCGGTGTGTTCGAGGCTGGCGGGAGCCAGCGAGGGCCGGGCATGAGAGCAGCACGTGCTCCTCCGGCGCATCAGCCTCTTTTTGGCACACGGCGCCGAGCGCCGCGGGGCAACGCTTCTATGGGCACTGCTGGCACACCGCGGAGTGGAGAAAGCCGATTCGGTGCCGTATTGGAGCGAGCAGCCCCAGTGGCCCGCCCTCATCTGGTGTACCAAAACGGCGTCCTCTCGGTCCTCTCCGGGGATGGGGAGCGAAGGCGTACTCCCGAGGAGTGGCTTGAATAGTGACTCGGACCAGTTGTCGCGCCATTGATGCGTGGCCGCACAATGAACCGCCCTGGTCAGCGAGCGGGTGTTTGAGGGCAGGATGGCCGCCTGTTTCGCCAGGTCGTCCGCGCTCTCATTCCCTTTGATACCGCAGTGAGCCGGAGCCAGGAACCCACTGCAACATTACTCCACGATGCTCAGCGATGTCAACAAGGTCTGTCATACCTATATACATGCCGAGGGCTGAGGCCTCACCTGGGCGGCCTCTCCTCTGCTGAGTAGCTTCAGGGCGGCTAGCCAGTTCGAGCATGCGACGACCAGGGTGAGGAAGTCTCATCCCTAAACCTCTCCAGAGCCGCCTGCAGGGCGAATCTGCTGCCAGATTGACCAGCGTGCCGACAAAATCTGGTGACCATCTTTCGCACAAAAAAAATTGTGCCCGTCCTGCACCGAAAAATTCAGCTGTCGCCATGCGCTGAATTTGGTGCATGCGAAGTTACGCCCAATGCAAGCCGAAATTTTTGGAGCAATCCCACCACTACGCCGGTCATATTCGTTGTCACATGTATTCTAGCTGAGGTTAGATCTTGTCATCTTGTGCCAAAGTATTGCTTATATCATACGTATGCGCCAAATTTTTCATTCATCCGTGCACCAAAATTTCAGTGCACTCAGCACTGAGGCTGCCGGACTCTGCACCAAAATTTTGGCGCAATCTGCCAATTACACTGGACATGTCAGCCGTAATATGGACTTTTCCCGGTCGAAGGTATTAGCTCCATGGCATTCTCACTCTTCATTTTTCAAAAAAGTTAAATTGCAAGGGTTTATGGCAATGTCAACCAGGTTTTTACTCATTCCCGCCGTGAAAATCACTAGAAAATAGTGAAAAATGACTTAAAAAGGAAAATACACCTACTCACCCTCAAGGCCGTATATTGGGCTCACCGGACTCACGTTGTCTATATACCCTGTCAATATACCCTCAGGCTTATTGCATGCGACGCAAAATTAAAATTGCAAAGGCATATATCGACTTTCTTCGCCTGTTGTGTGCATCTCGAAAACCAAAAGCGAATTGTTCCACAAGCATTTATCAAGCAAAGTGAAACCGTCAAATTATGAAAATTAAAAGTGACGTCATAATAACTAGTGTTAGAGTTTCTCACTTTGGAAAGTACTTTCATTTTGTTGGAACATGGGATACTATCAGCCTTCTAAAATATTTTCCTTATTTTATATACTGCTGGTGCATGTATTTTCCAAAGAGAAATGATATGGGAGAGCATTCCCTTGCATAACATCTAGATACGTCATCAGTATGATTTTGCAGACGATCGTATGGTAACAGAACGCTTTTTCGGTGCCTTAATTTTGTGACAAAACCGGCGTGATTCACCGGTTGCGGGGGGAGCGGTGGTGAATGTTTATTACATATTTTTACAGGATTATTAAGCGCAAGTTGGTTATTTCATTTGACTATTTGATTTAGCATCTTGGTAAGGTTTTTATCAGTTGAAGACACTTTCAAGAAATAAGGTTTAACATTCGGCGGCGCGGAAACCATGGCAAAATTTCGCCGCAAAATCACTTAAATGAATTTTTGCGCATCACAATCAGCACTTAATGATTCTCATGAGAGTCCCGAGCCCTGAGGCATCCTCGAAGTTTATGGATTTTTTTTTTCTAGTCCGGCAAACACGCATCTTCATGTAGGTACTCAATTATCTAACTGACTAGCAACACTTGACAGCAGACAGGGTCATTGATCACTAGTAGCGGCAGAACACCTTCAATTAACCCGCGAGTTGCTGGGGGGGGCGTTAAACACCCCTACTTTTTTCACCGGGCCATAGCATAAAAACGGCGCGCCGCAGGCGCGCCAAATTTTGGGTACCTGTAGGGAATTGATTGAAGTTTATTGACAAAGTTTCAAAAAATCGGTCGGAAAAATTTTGAAATATCGAGGTTTTAGTGACGTCATGATTTTTGAATTTTCGACCAAAAACGGCGTATGTTCAAAAAATCATATAAAATCACAGAATAGACATACAGACATGCCGTAAACGCCATTAGACTGCCAATACCATGAACAATCAAATGGCTATCTTCGATTATTGATTATCATTCCGCATTTTCCAAAATCTTGAACTGAATCTTGACAATTTCTCGTGACTACTTCACGACTATGTTACATGCATTTCTTAAATTAAACTTTTTTAGCAAAACACGTATACATATGATAAAATGAATGTCACCATCGTGTTCTACGCCCCAAATTACCCATAAAACATGTGTCACGGGCTGCGAATATCAGTTTTGATTTTCGGGGATATGTGCCTACCCGGTTGACCTGACCTTGACCCTGACCTATGCTTGACTGACCCCTACATGGAGCTGACACTCTTGTAGGCCCTATACGATGGATTGTGCACCATTTTGACAGAGTTTATGACGAGAGGCGCCCATTGCGAAGTCCTGAAGTCCATGCTACTGAAAGGCCGATTTCAGGTGTTTGACCTGACCTTGACCCGACCTGTGACCTCAAAACTCAACTTTAAAGTACTCATCTGAAGCGTCTCGTCGCGCTCTTTCGTTTGCCGCCTCGTGCGTTTCGCTGCGCCTATTGGTTCTCGAGTTATCGGCTGGGGGCGTTTAACGCCCCCCCCCCCCCCCCCCCAGCAAACGGTGGGTGGCGAAATACCCCAGCAACTGCCGGGTTAAGGGGGGCCCGCACACTTTTGGTGCGACGCTTTCCATGCAATGCCCATAAGGCTAATGTTAAAATGGCAGAATCAAGGGGGCACCGTGCCCTGGTGCCCCCCCCCCCCCTCCGCTCTGCCGCCTATGTTAATCACAGAGCCTCATGGACTATCCTGCGGCGATCAGCGATGGAGGGAGGCGAGCTATCCTGTTGCGTTCAGCAGGGCTCAGTGCAGAGCCTGTAGCTGCTTTTTCCCACAGTGATATAAATTAATGCGCAGACTGCATACTTGAGGTCATCAAATGCATCTATCCAGCAGTCATTCAAAAATGCTCCTGACCATAGCATTGCATCATTTTTTTTCAGTGTGTTATTTTGCCTCCAGTTGAACATTAACAAGATTTGTCTTGTTGGATTGCAGTGCACCTAGTCTGAGCATAGGCTAGCCATGGCAGATGCATGGGATGAGCTACAGCAGATAAAAAACAAGAGGCTTTCACTGAGGGAAAAGCTTGCTCAAAGGAAAAGAGAAAGAGAGGACATCCTCAGTGCTACTGGTACTGCTGGTACCAAAGGTAAGTCCTGTGTTTATTGGTGACTTAACCCTCGCCCGTATAGGGCGGGGGGGGGGTCGAACGGACCCCCCCCCCTCGGTTTTTCGTGAGTAACTCGCGTGAAAAGCGGCCGATCGCGACAAATCTTTCAGTACCCTCGAGTTGATCAATTTTACGCCTACTCTGAAAATGTCATGACTCTGACCCAAATGACCTTTGACCTGTGACCTACTCGAGACCATGTTTGGCCGGAATCGCGATTCGGCGTATGTCGGCTCGCATTAGCCGCGCTTTTGCAGCCTTTTCGTGGTTTCCAGCGTTCAAACATGTGATACGATGTTGCCCCCATGCATTAGGGTTGGTGTCAAGGTCACCTGAAGCTCAGGTCAGGCCATTGACCTTTGATGACCTTGGCTCACTTTTTCGAGTTTTACATGTTTCTAGGCCAGTTTTGGAGCTAATTTCGAATTTAGAAACCATATGAACATTTACAAAGTTGTTTTGGTGCCTTCGTGACATGTTACGAAGCTGTCAGAGGCGGTCGACACCTATTACGAATACCCGGCAGGACCCCAACTGGATGACTTGACCTGACCTGACCCGACCTGACCTGACTTGACCTGGCCTAAATGCATGAAGACATCATCTGTGATCAAAACTAACATGATATTCGTGATCAGCATCTCGAAAAACTCCATAGTAGCCACACATAACGACTTTCTAACAGGTCTCGATTTTCCCGACTTTTGGGTCATTTAGTATTTACCTGACCTGGAAGGTCAACCAATGACCTAGGACCTTAAAATTGGGTATCATCGGCTTCCTTTCGTCACGGGCAACACGCTCGTTTTCTTTCCTCGAAGCTCCAGCTCGATCAGGGGTGAAACGGCAAGGGGGGTCCGTTGCCCCCCCCCCCCCCTTATGCGTCCCCGACTGGAAAAACACCAATACGGGCGTGGGTTAAGTGTCATTTGTGTCCATTGTTATCTTTTGGTGTTTGTAGTTTAAAGCTATTGCATATTTTAATAATAAAATTTACATCTGATCTGTGTGCTATTTGTGCTAGCTACACAATAGTCAATATACTTTTTGGTAATGTGTCTAGTGTCATTGAGTGGGTGTTTTTCACATCACTTTTATCTTTGTTGTGTGTGAACATTGTGTCACCAAATGTCGTACCCCTCCCAGATGCTCTGCAGACTCCAGCCAAGGTGGCTCGTACTGCCGGGCCAGCACTGACTGTGTCACCTTTGGTCACAATCAGTCCTGGCAGCGCCGCAGCCGAGGCAGTGTCACGTAAGGAATGAAATCTGTCATTTTATAGGTGCTGAAAAGTATATGTTCATTGTTAGTGAGTCTCATGGAAGTATGCTCTTTGCTGCCATCTATTGATGTTAGACTTTTATCACATCTTCACGGTATTGTTTCCATCTTTATTGAAGTGTTTCTCAGTAGCAAAAAAAAAATCAGCTTCCTAGCATCACATGCACAGTAAATTTGTCCAGCGTGTGTGACGCTCCGTTCCCGGCGGCAGCGGCGCCGCCGATCTCTGACGGCCACCGGCCGGAGGCGGAGGCCGACCCGGCTGACGTGGAGCGGCAGCTGGTCCGACTGCTGGCCGGCCTGCACGAACTACCCACCGACGGACGCCAGCTGGCCGCCGACCTCGCACCCCGGCTGTCCGGCACCGTCACCCAGCGCAGCGTCAACAACGTGCTGCAGAAACTGGCCGCCCAGGACCTCATCAGGTGCGTGTGGCCCGACAGGCCCGGACCGTTGTGTCGCCGGCGCGGACTCCGTCTTTTTATCGTCAGATGAGTGATGATGACATCAGTGTTCACGCTTGTTAGTGTTTGATGTCTGTCTGTTTATGAACTTTGCGCAATATGGTGGCCTTTGCCCGTCGATTTGACGTACTGATCCTGATTCCGCTGTGTTGACCGCGCTGCTCTCCCACCGGGCTGTCCGCAGCGTGCAGGAGGTGAGCCGCGAGGGCGGTGACCGCGTGCTGGAAGTCTCCTCTGTGGAGCACGTGCGGCTGCAGGTGGTGGCCGGGGAGGGCGGCGCCCCGACCACCGACGAGCCGCCGCCGCCCCCCGCCGCCGAGGCGCCGCGGCCGGATGACATCATGGTGAGTGGCGCCGCCCGGCGGACCAGCGCAGCAGCTGTACTGTGGGAATGGCCGCTAGATGGCAGGCAGATGTCAGTCCGGTAAATAGCTCGTTTTATTCTGACAAGGACCGTTACGGGCTACGGCCATTGTAGCTGTCACGTTACCCGACAAAAAAATGTTTAGCTTTCAGTGTCCAGAGGCTTTGATTTAGTGTGTCAAAAGAGCAGACAAACAGACAGTTACCATGCCTCTCGCAAATAAATCTAGAACTTCATGTATTCCTGCGCCCTCAACACCCTCTGTCAGCGCCATTAATTACCCTGACAAACAGCCTCCGGTATTACACAAAAATAATACATCCGTGCAGTCAATACAACGGTGACATTTCTTTCAGAATTTGCTGGCGCTCCCCTCGGCGCGAGAGAAGGAGAATAAGAAGATGGGGGAGGAGATTCTGGACCTACTCTGTAAGCCCACCGTCAAGGAGCGCTCCACGGCTGAGCGCTTCCGCTCACAGGGGGGTGAGTACTCGACATTCGCAACGTTACATAACGGACGGTCGAAGCCCGCTACTACCGCATATAGCATCTTTAGCGCATAGTCACCAGTAAAACGCCTTTTGGGGCGACCAACGGAGCGAACGAGAGGGTGGACCTTGCACGTGCGAAGTTGCGAGGGGACACCTCCAACTAGCTTGTGCACGGCACTTTACTAACCGGCCTCTAGCGATGTGCCAAGTTTGAGCGCAAGCGGCCCAGCCGTTCTCGAGATCTGGAAGCGGCACCCTGCACGTGCGCACGGGCAAAATGGGTCCCAACTGACTTAGCATCGCACCCTACTAACCGGTCCCTAACCATGTACCAAATTTCAGCGCAATTGGTTCAGCCGTTCTCGAGATCTGGAATAGACCCCTGCACGTGCGCACGTGCAGCAGCACCCCAACTGTGGCACATGGATATGCATTGCCTAGTGGGTGCCTACCTACATGCCAACTTTCAGCGCAATCGGTCTAGTAGTTACCGACATATTGCAATTGTTACAAAACTGACACCTCTTCGTTTTGCACGTGACACGTGCATAAGGGATCACCCACATGCATCGGGACTAGTCCAATACTTGGAAGAAGGAATGAAGCTACGATGCAAAAATTACTGCATGTAAATCGGTCAAGTGGTTGCGGAGATATAAGCTTCGCAAAAACGTGACCACGGCCGGCCGCTCATACTCAGAAATTTCCGTTAACCTGCGAAAGACTACGCTCGCTTCGCTCGCTCCGTAACGAAAGACTTTGCTGGCTTCGCTCGCCCCGTAATATTTTTTTTCGCCCGTAATAATTTATTTAACCCTCGCTGGCCACTGGCCATTTTGCCATCCTCAGCGATACAGGGCCTTCGGAATTTAATTTCGTTTTTGAAATTTCGACACATTAAGGATAAGCATTCATACTCTTTCCCCACGTCGGAGCATTGATTGCTGTGATGCGTTGGCATTAGAACGGCGCGGTTGGCTGACTACTGCCCTGAAGTACGCCAAGTGCAGCCACTCCGTTCATATTGCGCAGTGTGTCCGGGTATTTCGGCCCCACTAGGTCACCTGCACTCATGGGTGACATGACATTGAAGTGCCAAACTTAGTTATCTTGTAACGATAACTATTTACGCATGCCGTGACCCAGTCAATTCTGAGTCAGACATTGCCCAATCGTGGCCACTTGTTGGGGTAATACCATGCCATACGCGAGACATTAGCGGGCTATTCATAGACTAGCTGGAATCGCGTTCGCCGTTGTCTATCTTCTTAGCGAGACGGGACGCTGTTGGTATACCATCGTTCTTAGATGAGTTTCATATGGTCGTCATATGGTATGGCCCACATAACGTACATACTTCACTCCTGACTCCATGCACCTCAGGGTTACGTCAGTCGGTCTAAATGTAGCCGCCGCCCCCTGCACTAGGAAGGGCTATGGTCGGTGGGGTGACGCGGTCCGCGTCACAGTCTATTATATGTGGTGTTTGCTTTGCTGACGTGCACAGACAATCTACGAGCCTTGCATCAGTGTTGAACCATACATTGCTCTAGTCGCGGAAGGAGGCAAGAGAGTAGCCGGCCTTCCCGTGTTCATCTTGCAAGTGCCAGATGCTCGTTACCGCGTTACCGCAGATCAGAAGACCGTTGGTCGTCAGACGTGGTGACCGCCCTACCGCCGTCATACAGCAGTTACAACGCCCACGGCGTGATGCAACCCGCGCAACCGGCCCTCTACCGCCGTCAGTCCGTCTCCTGGGCCGCCGACCGGCCGGGGTTCGGTGGACAGCCGCACCTCAGAGGGAATGGCTTCCTCGCAGAGCGCACACCGTCACTCAAACGCCCCATGAGCTGCGGTGGTCGCTGGCGCCGGGAGGGAGAGGGTCCTCAGGAACCCAAGAGGGAATGACGCCGGTTTCTTGTTATCGCTGCATCAGTCTGTGATACTGCGGGGCAATTTGCAGCTTAGTGTCTCTTCAGCAATGCAACGTCTTCTCTCACCCTTTTTCGCAATTTTTTTTTCAAGTGTGCGTTTTTCTTCCTTGGATTGCTGACTGATCTATAAAAAAATGAGGATGATACCTTAGCCCATTCCGCCAGACACCACTAAATTATAACAGCGTAACTTTCCAATTTTACAAAGCCGTTCTTCGCTCTTCGCCAATATTTCCTTGATCCATCCGATGCTATTGCGTACTTTGTTGATAGCCACGGCGCACTAGATAGGCACTACCACTGCGGGCTTGTGACCAGTTTATCAACTTGCCGTCATGAATGGCGTCTTTTGTTTGTTTGTTTTTTCGACGCTGTCGTAGGCTCGTTAGTGGATGGGGCAGTTTAGGCAAAGCAAGTCCGACACCGCTATAGCGGTGTTTTGACGCTTGTATTACTCTGCTATGTCCCCTATCCCAGTATCCCACCAGTGGCGGCGGAAGGTAATTTTGGATGGGGGTGCAAAGTTTTCTCAAGGGGCCCCTCTGGAAGTTTTGGGCCCCCTTCAGTTTTTTTAGTGATTATTATTGACTTATGAAAAACGAAGATTTTGGAAAACTATCCCCATACACAAAAGTTCTGTAAAAGGTTTGAAATTGCAGTGTACCTACCTGTCTCAAAGAATGAAAGCATAAAGAAGCAACTGCAGCTAGTTTTGTATCGGCTAATCTTTTACAGGGTGGACCAAAAAGGATGGAAACATTTTGAACTCGCATAAAGTATGTGTTATTGCATGCAGGTGACTGAAAATGATACCAAACGAGAGAACATTTCGTGGAAATTCATAATGACATCTCTCTCATCTGCTTTCTCTCGTTTTCCTTCTCTCACAGCAAATGTTCGAAGAGGCCATCTTTGCGAGACAGGCAAAGAGCGGCCCGCCTGCCGGCTGACGCGATAGCCCGATGACACATGTCCTCTGGTATGACTCGCACAGCCTTGGTGGTCACTCTCTTCAGATAACAGAGGCCTACATAACCTTCCTTGTAGACCTGACCCTTGAGATGACTCCACAGGAAAGGAATCCATAGGTCAGATGAAAAGACAGACAGGCCAGTTCCACTTCGGCTCGAGGATGGGAGCGACAACACCGTGGCTGACGACCAAAAGCGCTACCAAGCGACGCTAAAGAAGTTGTTGAAGTGAGCCCAAACGAAGTATGGCAGTCTCATGGACCTCATGTGATTCCAGCCAGACGGTGCGCCTCCTCACATCGCGAAACAACGCTCAAGTGGAGCGAGAACCACTTTGGTGACCGGCTGATATCCCGCAGTGCCTGTCGGAACTGGCCTGTCTGATCACCTGACCTGACCCCGATGGATTTTTTCCTGTGGGGTCATCTCAAGGCCAGGTTTACAAGGAAGGTTCTAAAGGCATCTGTTACCTGAAGAGAGTGATCACCAAGGCTGTACGAGCCAAACAAGCGGACATGTGTCATCGGGCTATCGCGTCAGCAGCCAGGCGGGCCGCTCTTTGCCTGTCTCGCAAAAGTGGCCTCTTCGAACATTTGCTGTGGGAGACTGAAAACGAGAGAAAGCAGATGAGAGAGATGTCATTATGAATTTCCACGAAATGTACTCTCGTTTGGTATCATTTTCAGTCACCTGCATGCAATAACACATTTTATGCGAGTTCAAAATGTTTCCATCCTTTTTGGTCCACCCTGTAGTCTAGCCACCACCCGCAGCGTCTCAAACCACTTTTCTGGATCCGCAGTGGACCATTGAGGGCCCTACGAGACCGTTCCAAGAAGACCGTGTTTAGAAGCCCCTTGGAAACCGACCACATAGAGACTCCTCCAGAGATCTACATACATGACTCCCCAGATTGAATGAGCCCTCCGATCAGGGTCGGTCACTTGAAAGTTGCTGAAAGGTTTCAGAAGGCAGTATAGGCTCGAAAGTCTTTAAGGGCTCTCAGAAACCGGCATCGGACCCCCAAAAAGCTTGTATGGAGGCCCTCCAAAGCCGGGATGGAGGCCACAGGAGCCGATGTTTAGCCTAAAGAGCCGGTATGGAAGACTGAATAGAGGAAAGGGGTCTCAGTGGGGTCTTCAGGGGCAAGCGTTTGAGCCCCAAAAGTATGTGTGGGGTCTTAGAGGCAGGTAGACCCCTGGGGTATGCATGGGGTCCCAGGAGCTCGCGTGTGAGCCCTAATATTCGGCTGGCGGCTACTAGAACCAGCATGGGGATTCTTAGAAGATGCTTAGACCCACATTTCATGGGTCATGAGTCCCAAGAGTCGATGTAAGGGCCATAAAAGCCGGTGTAGGGCCCATGGCCCCATAAGTTCCGACATTGAGACTCTCAGAGGCCGGCGACGGGGCACCAAGAGCAGATAAAGTGCCTCAACAAGCCGACATGGGGCCTGAGAATCAGTGTGGAATTCCAGGAGCCTGCGTGAGCTCTCGGAGACCTTCGTATTTCGTAAGGTCCACAAAGGTCGTTGGATCCTCTGAATCTGAACTCTGCGGGACCCTCAGAGCCCAGCATGTCTCCTGGCACCTGCCTGCGTTGAGTTGAGACCCTCCGACGCCGTCGTAAGGTTCTTCAGAGGCCAGCGCTGGCCCTTGAAGCCTTCGTTAGGCCCTCGAAGCCGTCAAGAGGGCCCTCAGAGGTCAGCATGGCCCCTGGAGCCTGCCTGCGTCGAGGCCCTCAGAGGCCGTCGTGGGGCCCTTAGACGCCAGTGTGGGCCTTTGGAGCTTGCGTTGGGTCTTAGAGACCATCGTGAGGGCCCAGAGAGGTCGTCGTCAGGGCCCAGCCCGTCAGGGACCGTCCTGGGGTCCTCAGAAGTTGTTGTGAGGGCCCTTAGAAGCCTTCGAGAGGGTCATCAGAGGTCGTCATGAGGGTCCTTGGCCATATTGAGGGTCTTCATGGGCCCTCAGATACCTTTGCAGGGCTCTCAGAGGCCTTGGTAAGACCGCTAGAGGCCATCTTTGTTACGGTTCTCAATAGATTGTTGCAGAGCCCTCAGATGCCAGCATAGCTCCTGCAGCCTGGTTGTGTTGGGGCCCTCAGAGGCCGTCGCTGGGCCGTCTGAAGCCAAATGGGCTCTCAGACTTGAGTTGGGTCTAGGGCCGTCACGAGGGCTCTCAGAGACCGTCGTAGAGGCCCTCAGAGGCCAGTGGGCCCCTGGAGTCCTGTGGGACCCTCAGCGGTCGTCATGAGGGCCCTTAGTTGTCGTTATAGGGCCTCAGGGGACAGAGTTCGTTGTGAGAGCCCTCAGAGTTCATCGTAAGGGCCCTCAGAGGCCGTCATAGGGGCCCTCAGAGGCCAGCGTGGCCTCTGGAGTCTCCTTGGGGCCCTGGAGTCTCTGTGGGACCCTCAGCGGTCGTCATGAGGGCCCTTAGTGACCGTTGTAGGGCCCCAGGGGACAAAGTCCTCAGGTGGGATCCCTCAGAGATCGTCATAAATGGGCCCTCTGAGGCCGTCGTGGGGGCGGCCCTCAGATGCCGCGTGGAGCACCAAACGCTCTCGGGACACTTCTAGCCGGTGTGGGGGCCCCAAAGACTAGCATGGGGCGCTCCTGATCATAATTGGACATCCCGGATGATTCCACATCAGTGTTCGTTTCCCGATCACTGGTTTTCAGGAGAAAATTGCATTGGATGGTGCGACGGGCCCCTTGTACGGATTTTGGGGGTGCAAAAAGATATGTTTGCACCCCCATGTTTTTCGATGGGGGTGCAGCTGCACCCCCTGCACCCCCTATTCCGCCGCCACTGTATCCCACCCAGTGTAGTACTAACTCGCTGGGGTGTCGAACGCAGACTCGAACGGGGATTCCAAAAAGGTTCTGATCAGAAATGCCATCTAAGGGACGGCTTTTTGTATGTGTGTTGAACTGTTGCCGTAGCGTGCTTGGTAACCTGTCCGGCACTCCGGCAGGTTTATAAAATGGTGCGCCGTGTCTGTTGATGTAACACGCGCTCTGTACCCTGTCCGCTTCTGACAGGTGCCCAGGTACAGGAGTACTGCCGTCACGGCACGCGGGAGGAGTGCGACAGGTCCAACAAGGAGAACGCCAACCCCTGCGGCAAGTTGCACTTCCGCAAAATCCTGCAGAAGCACACTGACGAGTCGCTGGGCGACTGCTCCTTCCTCAACACGTGCTTCCACATGGACACCTGCAAGTAAGGCCCGGACCTGGGCGGGAGATATAGAATTTGAACTCGGGATTTGATAGAATGGCTACTCAGCTGAGCATGTCTCGCGTAATTTTCTGTTCTGTTTAAGTTTCTTTGACACGTAATTTGCTCTCTATACGGTAACACCTTTTCTCGCATTCTTAATACAGCGTAACAGCAATCCATGTCAGTTTTTCTATGCACCAAGTCCTCCCCTCTGTACCATTGGCCTTAACGTCCCCGTCTCGCCCGTTAGGTACGTGCACTACGAGGTGGACTACTCGGGGTTGAACCGGTCGGGCGGCGGCGGCGACGCGTCCGACGCTGGCGTCACGGTGCCGCTGCCGGCGGAGCTGGACCGCACCGTCCTCTTCCCGCCGCAGTGGATCCAGTGCGACCTGCGCTTCTTCGACATGTCTGTGATAGGTGAGTGAAGGACCAGTGCTGCCAGGAGTTGTGCTGGACAGATTGCGGTACTTGGGTGTCGGTGTCGGTGGGCGGGTAGGTATGTGTAACGTTCGGCGGGCTGTCTGACTGGGGAAGGGTAGTCTGGCAGTGGGTGGGACACGTGTGACTGTTAGCGGGGTTCATCCGGCGGCGAATTCGTCTAGCGGTGGGTGGCCGTCGCCCCAGTGCGGCTCGAGGAACTGCCGCTGGGCCGGCACCTCTGATCTGACTCCCCGACACAGATGCCGTTAGTTACGATATGACCTCCGGTGAACGAGGGGCACGGTTCACCGCACGGTAGTCAATTTACGACCTCCAGGGACCGAACTGCCGCTTATGTGTGCATGGGGCAGGGTTCGCTGCACGGTGGCCAGTTAATGAGCTGTGAATGGGCCGACTGCAGACTCCACGCCCACGGTGACGCAATGACCGGAGGGACTTTGGTCACTGGTGCCGGCTTTATTACCAACTGAGGGCCGCCTTGTGACGGGATCAGGGGCGGACGTGCCTTCTCCCTCTGCCCTGTCCTACCTGAGCCCTTGTTACGTCAGCGGCAGCGCCCTCCTCCGAGATTGTCGCCGTCAGAGAACGAACCGTGTCTGTGTGAAGTCCTGTTCGCCACTGGAACTCGTCACTGTTTTGCTGCGACGGCAGCACCCGGTCTAACTGCAACAATCGCTGATTGAATTTCACTTTTTTGTCCATTGAAAACAAGAATAATTAGTTGTAAAACAATAGTTACTTTGAGCATCCCATTTAACATGATTGGGAAGGCAGTAGGTACATAGGTACGGACTTACCTTTTTCGAGAGGCATCAAACGTGCCTTATCCCTCACAACCAGGACATGCGCGCACTACCAGGGACCGGGGTGTGTTGCGTAATTTGTTTTGTGGCTTTTGTATTTCTGTTATTCCAACTGTCTGCGGATAAACGACAGCCTCCGTGTACTTGAGGTGAAGTTCGACGCATATTATCCACCAGTGTATGGTCGCCGATAATTTGATTGCATATTTTCAGTGATTGTCTTATGACAGTGTTCGCGCTGCCTTGTTGCCGTTAATTAGGTGGTCAAACATGCGTTGAGTGCCTGTGCCTATCGCAGAAATGTCTGCCGTTTGAAGTGGGGACGGAAAGCCCCACTTATGTGTGCATGGTGCGATGTCCCTCCCCTTAGGGTGGGAGTGGGCAACACTCAGTATAAGTGCCGTCTGTGAGCTTATCACCAAACCAACAAGGGCGCTTGTTATCCCCTCCCCTCCCCCACCAGTAGCTGTTCCCTGTCGAGATATTCTTGTGCACACGACACCCATATATGGATCGTGTGCAAGCTTGGGAGCGTTGAGCACTGTTATACAACCATAATCACGCCCTATCTCTGAACAATCCGTGCGGTAAAGCACCGCGAAGAACACTGTTGTGCATCAGCGTATTTAGCACAGCCCTTTTGTTTACGGTTCAGCGTTCATATTGGTATCCATGATAACCCATATGGATCAGATGAAACTTGGAAGTCTTTTACGTCATATTTTAGATGAAGGAATGTCATACATAGCATTTTAGTTTTAGCAATGTTTCAAAAGTTCATCCAAAGACTCGCAAATCTTATGTGTCTAAGACAATATGGGCCTTTTTTGGAGGGGAGGATGAATCAACTTTGTCAGGGTAAATCGACACCCTGATTCCGTTCCATTTTGCAAAGCACACCCTTCAATCGTATCCGATATGTTCGGTTAAGCGTAACCGATGGCACTTCCGCTCTGTTCAGCAATAGCTGATTCCTACGAAACCCGTCTGTGTCCACGGCGTTTTATTGCCGGCGTGTGCCGCCACTGTTTGCACAGTGGCGCCTTCTGTCACCATTCCTTCCGCGGCGGAAATGACTGGCGCCCCCGCCCACACGCACATTGCCATCCGGCGCCGTGCGGAATGTTCAGGGGCGTCTGTCCGTCGGGCGGTGCCGCCGGGGCGGTGTTATCTGCCGTCACCGGCGTCTGGGGGGCGCCGCCGCCGTCTGCCCCCGTCTTGACCGGAAGTCTGTCCCACACCTGTCTGCTCGTCCCCCCCCCCCCCCCCAGACCGAGGATATGTGACCTCCCCGTCAGACTAGCCAGGGGTCAATGTACAGGGTGATTCATAGCTGTGTGACCGAAAATAAATGAAAACTACAGGAAATGCATTCGTGTTACATGTCATTGCCAGGTAGCATATTAAACAGCCAAATCTGAAGTTTTGATCCATGTATAGCATCAGTCACAAATACTTTTCCTTCGACTCTCACACTTCTTTTAGACAAGATGCTCAAAATGGCCACCTCGGCGACAGATGCACTCCAGCGCCATGAGAGCCTAAAGTTGGCGATGGCGCAGACGCACAACATTTCTAAGGAAATAGAACCAAAGCAGCTTCCAATGGCATCCTTCAGCCCCAGAATATCCTGGGGACTCTCATCATAGACCTCGGACTTTGCATAGCCCCAGAGGAAGAATTGCACGGCGTTGAGCTCCGGCACCAGTGTGGCGCCCACCTGACCTCAGCGCTCTTTGAAATCAACTTTCCGGGGTTCGCTTACTATTTTTTTTTTTTGTGCCGCGTTTAGCACTGAACCTTGCCCTCTGCTTTGAATTGATTAACGATTCTATGAATTGATATCTTCTTTGGAGTTTCCCTTGGGTGCAAGCCCTTAGGCGTGCAGAAACATCTTTGTGTTTGCTTGACGGACTGTACAAATTATACAAATTATATACAAATTGTATACTGTATACAAATTACACATTTTTACTTTTTGCTGCGCTGTGTACATCCTAAGCGATACACACAAGGCCATATAGATACACACAGACCAGACCAAGATAGAACAAAACTTCATAAAATTTTCTACTAGCACGTGAAATTTCACGCGGAAATATGCAATATTCTTCTAAAGAGAGTTCAACTAAATAGGTCACATGGCTATGAATCACCCTGTATGTCTCCTCCGCTATTCGAATGGAGTCTGCGTGAATTGTGTTATGTAAGAAGCGCGGAGCGGATGACCCGCGTAGTCCGAGCGTACTGAGTTCCCTCACCCTCGCACAGCCATTATGCCACCGGGTAAGTACCCCAGCCCTCACCCTCCGCCCGTATGTCCGCGTCTGCAGGCGAGTGCGCGGTGATCATGGCCGACCCTCCGTGGGACATTCACATGGAGCTGCCGTACGGCACCATGGCCGACGACGAGATGCGAAACCTGGACATCCCGTCACTGCAGACCTCGGGACTGATCTTCCTCTGGGTCACCGGCAGGTCAGCACGCGCGCCGGAGAGAGCGATCTCTCTTCTCTCTTCTCTCTTCTCTCTTCTCTCTTCTCTCTTCTCTCTTCTCTCTTCTCTCTTCTCTCTTCTCTCTTCTCTCTTCTCTCTTCTCTCTTCTCTCTCTTCTCTCTTCTCTCTTCTCTCTTCTCTCTTCTCTCTTCTCTCTTCTCTCTTCTCTCTTCTCTCTTCTCTCTTCTCTCTTCGCTCTTCTCTCTTCTCTCTTCTCTCTTCTCTCTTCTCTCTTCTCTCTTCTCTCTTCTCTCTTCTCTCTTCTCTCTTCTCTCTTCTCTCTCTCTCTCTCTCTCTCTCTCTCTCTCTCTCTCTCTCTCTCTCTCTCTCTCTCTCTCTCTCTCTCTCTCTCTCTCTCTCTCTCTCTCTCTCTCTCTCTCTCTCTCTCTCTCTCTCTCTCTCTCTCTCTCTCTCTCTCACACACACTCACTCACTCACTCACTCACTCACTCACTCACTCACTCACTCACTCACTCACGCAGTCACTCAGTCAATCCTTCACTGATTTACTCACTTACTTTATCGCCCTTGCTCTTGCTCCTGATTTTGTATTTTTCTTGGGCAATAAGTAAATCAGTGGGATGTCGATAAGTTTTATTTTTCGTGGCCAGTTCGTTTGCGCAACAGGTATTCCCCCCTTAGCTTGACGTTATCAGTATTGACCTGCCTTTGATTGTTGCCTGCTGACTTGAATGTCCATTCTGTTGTCTACGTTGGGACACAGTTTTAGAAGAATGATATGACTTAGTGGGCTCTAGATTCAGAACGGCTAATTAGAGGTAACGAACGTTTCGAAATAAGCATTCCGCCTGCTAACAGTTCATGAAGGGAGACCATGTAACATCACGTGTTTAGTTTCCCGGCTGCTATCTGCTGGCACCCCGGCTCACTTTCTCATCTGGAACAGTATTCTATCCCCTCAGCTGTGATACTTACCCCCCCCCCCCACACACACACACACACACGGGAGTCTCTGACGCTATGTTCTATCCTCCCTCCAGAGCCATGGAGCTGGGCAGGGAGTGTCTGACCCTGTGGGGATACGAGCGGGTCGATGAGCTGATCTGGGTGAAGAGTAACCAGCTGCAGCGTATTATCCGCACCGGACGTACCGGTCACTGGCTCAACCACGGAAAGGTAGGCGCCATCGCCACTCAAAGCCGTGCTTTGTCATCGGTTGTTATTGACTCCGTGAGAATCGTGTTGTCCTCGGTGTTTTTATGACGGCACAACCGAGTGGTGTGCTCTGTCACGTGCAGTAGCGGTGAGTGGGCACTTCTAAAACGCTTGTGTAATCGGTCATTGTTTATCGGACGCTCTTTAATTTGATATTCATATTATCCTGTTGGGTTTTCCGCCCCCAATAGATCTTGCCGCCGATAAGGAGCCAATTGAGGCTGATCCCAATAACTTATGGGTGGGCGCACCTCCCCTGTCTGAATACAAACGGTCTCAGCTGCGACGACCTGTTGAGTGTTGACTTATGGCCGTACTAAATAAGTCGTAGTTGTTACATCAGCTCGGAGGCATTTTTTGTCCTCTTTCGTTTTACATTCTCATGTTCGATTAGTTCTTATCAACACAAATAAAACTGTCATGTGCTTTACTTTAATCTGAAGCGTCGAGTGGAAAGTAAATAGCCGCTTTGTGCCTATCATTCGCTATTTTCCTTGTCATCCAAATGTTAGATTGTGCTGTAAAAGCGTCCATATTATTAGGTACAAGTATCATTGTGTTGCCTCGATAATGCTCAACGATAATGCAATGCTCATCAGGGTTCATTCGTTCAATTAATTGGTGAAAAGATCCCTTTTTACCGTATGTCTGTAGCAGCTCGGCAGCTGATGGATATGAAGTGGCACAGTTCCTAGTGTTTTGTCACTCCTTCTGCGTCACAGCTGCCCACCCCAGGCTCCCGTTCACCCGCCGTTATCTCGGCCACTGACCTCCCCGTGACGTGCCCCAGGAGCACTGCCTGGTCGGTATGAAGGGCGAGCCCCAGTTCCTGAACCGCGGCCTGGACGCCGACGTCCTGGTGGCAGAGGTGCGCGCCACATCGCACAAACCGGACGAGATCTACGGCATCATCGAGCGGCTCAGCCCGGGCACCCGCAAACTGGAGCTGTTCGGCCGGCCGCACAACGCCCAGCCCAACTGGTGAGTGTCCATAACGCCCAGACCAACTGGTAAGTGCCCCACAACGCCACAACGCCCAGCCCAACTGGTGAGTGCCGCACAACGCCCAGTACGACTGCCCTTCGCTGACCTTCCACTGTCCCACGATGCCCAGCCCAACTGGTGAGTGTTCGTTCACCCAGAAACGCGTCCTGTCGACCGACTGATCGTGGCCCCATGACTTCCGTCGATTCTGTCACTGACCGTGTGCTATACGTACACCCACTTAAATTTCGTGCTGTAACGTGTGAAAATAAAAAAATGTGACAATTTTATTTATCTGGTGATAGTATAAGATAGGAAAATCAGTCGTTTTTATAAGTGGATACTTTGTGGTTAAACGCATTTGTCAATTGTCCAATGTATGTATTTGATGAACTAGATGATGGTGGTTAAAGGAACTATTTCATATACAGGGTGTCCCAAAAGTAAGGTCATCATTTGTTTTGGCCACACCGCCAAAAATACGCGATGGATAGAAATAAATAGGACATCATATGAAAGAGCATTTTATAAAATTTTATTCTGATATACATATGAGTCAATACATTGGCTCGTAGCCCCACATTTGCTGCTTTTCTGCATGGCTACCATTTCGGGCCGCGTGCACGAATAGACTGCGTTTTACTTCCTCCACTATTCTGGAGCGATTCTCCGGCGAGATGCCGCTTATGTTTGCTCGGAGGGATTATCCTTTAGTTCTTCCCGGCTCGTTGGGTTGTCCTAAGAGACAACCTTTCCGTTGTGTACCCAGAGAATAAAAATATGAAGGAATAACGTCAGGTGACCGCGGAGGCCATTCAATGGCGTTGCCCTGACTGAAAATTACGCGATCTCACATCCACTCTCGGAGACAATGCATGATCATCAGGACGGTGCAAGCATAGTCTCCATCCTGCTGAAACCACTGCTGGTTGATGGTGTCGGCACAAATGCGTTGCGACGAGCGGAAGAACCACTGGGAGGACTCTCGGCCACCTCTCTTGATTTATTTTCACCCGATTCCCGCTGTCGTCCTCAGGACCTCGAAGCACAGGTGGCTAAGTATACATGCCCTGTGCGTACATTATACCTTTTTCTGACGTTTTACCGGTTGAGGCGAAACTATGCATGAGTTCAGAGATAGGGCGAGCTGATAGGGTCTGCTTAGGGCCGAAAACTGGGCGGTATTTACCCTTTGTTTTAATGACGGACCCTCTCTAAGAGTTGAATTTCGACCTTCTCAGTTTTATGCCTACTGCTCGATGTATTTATGATCAAAAATGTTTTAAGCATGCAAGAAAATAATTTTATGGATGTACCTTGCACGTGTTAAAATTGGAAGTGATTCAGACTCTTACTTCTCGAGATATCAGTTTTAAGTCAAGTTATCAGGTCAAGTTTTAAATCATGACCTTACTTTTGGGACACCCTGTAAGTGTATGCTGTCGATTCGCTCCGTTTGTCCGTTTGAATGGACGCGCTATCTGTCCCCTGTGATTTACGGCGGCGGCGTGCCGTGCCGGATGTGTGCCACGAGTGCCGCTATAACCGCCCACTACGTTAGGCCGTGCGCGGTGAGCTCGTCCCTCGGAAGTCGCGCCGAGCCGCGGCCCTGTCCCGCCGCCGGGAGTTGGGACCGCGCCCGCCATGACGTCAGTGTGTGTGTCTGTCTGCGGCAGGATCACACTCGGCAACCAGCTGGACGGGGTCAACCTCAGCGACCCCGAGATCGTGGAGCGCTTCAAGAAACGCTACCCGGACGGCGACTGCCTGAAGCCGCCGCCCTGACCGCGGCCGCCGGCGGTGGCGCTGTGATGGTCCCCTGATGAGTACTGTGGACCGATCTCCTGAGGTGGGCCGTGGACCGATCTTCCGAGGTGGGCCGTTCCCTGTGGCAGCTGGCAGGCTGTGACCGGACCCCGTGATATGACGGTCGGTGGTCCAACTCCCGGCCCGGGGAGGAAGAGGGCTGAACTGGCTCCCCGCCCGGGGAGGGAGGGGGCTGAAATGGCTCCCCGCCCGGAGAGGGAGAGGGCTGAACTGGCTCCCCGCCCGGGGAGGGAGAGGGCTGAACTGGCCTCCGCCCGGGGAGGGACAGGGCTGAACTGGCTCCCTGACCGACGCTCGGTCGGTGACCGAACTTCCCGCCAGGGAAGGGAGTGACCTCAGGCAGTTCACTGAGGGACCGGCCCGGTGGGCCTCACTGATCATCCATGGGTAATGTGCACGTCACATGTTGTCTTGTGAGCTCGTCTTGCGGCGATCTGCCCGGCAAAGCTATTTCTTGCCGCCTCAGGACACGCACGTCCGCTTTTTACCATTGTATTTGTATTTATTGTGACAAATATGAAGTGTCAACATCAAGTGTAGCTGTCATTTCTGCCAGACAATAGGTTGGCAACAGACCAGCTTCGGGTAGAATATGTAGCATGTCTTGTGCATCTCACTCATTCCCAAAATACATCCGATTATCGATCTTTTCGATTTTGCGCGATATGTATCATGTTGCTGGTGGTCAGGTGTTCTCAGCGTTAACATTCTTATAATCGACAAGGTTATTGTTGCATTGATTCAGACTGGTTTTAGTGGCATACGGCGTTTTCTTACCGAGAGGGATTTTTCAAGAACGATTAACCCTCGCCCGTATAGGGGGGAGGGGTCGAACGGACCCCCTCGGTCTTTCCCGAATAACTCCCGTAGAAAGCGGCCGATCGCGACGAAACTTTCAGTACCCTCGAGTTGATCAATTTTACATCTGCCCTGAAAATTTCATGATCCTGACCCAAATGACCTTTGACCTGTGACCTACTTTTCGAGACCATGTTTGGCCGGAATCGCGATTCGGCGTATGTCGGCTCGCATTAGCCGCGCTTTTGCAGTCTTTCCGTGGTTAAAAGCGTTCAAACATGTGATATGATGTTGCCCCCATGCATTAGGGTGGGTGTCAAGATCACCTGAAGGTCAGGTCATTGACTTTTGATGACCTCGGTTCACTTTTTCGTGTTTTACATGTTTCTAGGCCAGTTTTTGGAGCTGAATTCGAATTTAGCAACCATATGAACATTTACGAAGTTGTAATGCGTGGTAGGAAATTACGCCCCCCCCCCCCCCCTCCTTCCTTGATCGAAGTTCTCTCTGACTAGATCACTTATCATGCTGGGATCCTGCTTTTGTCATCTGGTATAGAGAAACGTTCCGCGTACTTTCCCAAACTTCAGAAAAAGTTCATAGTTTTTATTGGAAAAGATAGGAACAAGTGTAAAGCTGGAAGTACAAAAACACATTGAGACTCGCGAGGCCAAGGTATTTGGTCTGAAGATTCCAATCCTTGACCAGCAAGCTTATATAAAACACAGACAGTGATATGACGTCATTTACAGCGGCCCGGAATGTGGGCCAGCCACGTCCGGGTGTGACGTCATAACGCCGTGACGCAGCCGCCTCGGGCACACCCACGCATCCATTCGTTAGTTAAATAGCAATAAATAGCGACACGCCAGTCGATCAGATAAGCGGTGAGCGAGATCCTCGTTGTGTCGCCTCCCCCGCGGGGACCGGCCGCGGAGAGCCGATAGGGGACGGTTTCTCTGCGTGTGGTCCCGGGGGAGGCGACTCGTGGTCATCCAGCGGCAGTGTCCGTTCGTCTTCCTCGTCATGGGCCGTTCTGCCACGCCGTCTTTACTGTTACCTGGTCCTGTCCCTCGACATCGCGTTCCTGAGGGAGTTAGCCCGAGGGATGGCCCATTCAGAGCCGCTGGTACATCAGCTCGTCCAGCAGCGTCTCGCCGATGACGTCACGCACCCAGTTGACGTGGTAGGGTACGTCGACGAACACGGCTGGCGTGCTGCTGAGGCCGCAGTCGACCCCCCACGAGGTGACGGCGGCCAGCACTGGTCTCCCGTCGGCACGGCGCACGGCCAGCGCGCCGCCCGAGTCACCCCAGCACAGCCGGCTGGCGCCCGGTGGCACCGCGCACAGCATGGCGCGCCGAGCGAAGTTGAAGAAGGACAGCTCGAGCAGGCACTGGTCGTCGCTGAGCACGCGCATGTCGACCTTGTGCAGCACGCGCGGGAAGATGGGCCCGTTGACGGTGGCGTCAGAGGCGCCCCAGCCGGCCACCGTGCCCAGAGAACCTGCCGAGGGACGGGAGGTGCGGTCAGTCGCGGCGGCAGGGAAAGCGCCCGGCCAGAGACGTTAGAAATTAACAGCAACTTGGTGAGGTGATGGCGATAATAGTTTTGTTAATTGATAATTATATTCTTTTCGTGTGGACACCCAAGTTTAAAATGATTGCTAATTCACATACTAATGTATTTGGTAATACATGTGTGTCTCACACTGATCGGGGTATATTCAGAAATGTCATGCAACTTCTGCTACATCGGTTCACTCCACACTCTACAGTACCCCCAGGCTAGTCACGGCGACTCACCAGTGAAGTCGTCGCCGGTCTCGGGCAGTTCGATCGGCTGAATGAACTCGGTGAAGATGGCCGGCCGGTCCAGCTTCAGCAGCGCGATGTCGCTCTGGAGGGACGCCTGCGGGCCGCGGCTGCGGCCGAACCGTCCGCTGTAGAGTACCACCTCTGCCACGTTCCGGCGCTGCTCGGTGCCCTCCTCCACGGAGACGTCATGTTCGCCCAGCACCACCTGGTGAGGGAGGGGGCGGCGTCAGACGGGCGGGGTCTCACGGAACGGCGACAGTGGGGTCACCGGGAACTGCTGTGAGCTTTTACGTGCTTATGTCGTTTTTTAGCCGTTTTGACTAGATTTGTCAGTTAGCCGCGAGTGAATGGAATTTTTGGGTGAACGAATGAATTATTTTATCGCGTGAATGAAATAATTTATCGAATGAATGAAATTAGTCATCGAATTAATGAATGAAACTGACAATGTTTTGTTCGGATGCCGAACAACCCAAACTGCCGGCGACTGGCAATATTTAACCGAATTCACAGATGTAACAGGAGCAGCAAAAGCCTTCTGATGTATTAAGTCATCTACTGGATGACTGCTCGTCGCGCCCAGCTCCAGAGGCTGTGATCTCCGCTCGTCTCCGGGAGCCGGGACCTCCGCACGGCTCGCTCTGAACTCTGTCTCACCTGGTAGGCGTCGAGCTGCTCAAGGCCGGACAGGCAGTGGGCGGCCGTCAGTAGCCACCGGTCGCTGACGATCACGGCGCCGCACACGTGTGAACCGCGCTTCAGCAGCTGTGCCTGCCAGGGGAACTCGCCGGCCGCCGCCGCCTGCGCCTTGATGGCCGAGCGCTGACCGGAGCCGGAGCCGGAGCCGGAGCCGGAGCCGGAGCCGCGCGGCCGCTGGAACGGCAGGCTCCAGCACACTGTCGGGGGAGAGAGACGGTCAGCACGGGATAGAGGTACGTAGGAATCGGTGGGAATCGATTGACGGTGTACCGCATGGTCAGTCTCGCGGTTTTCTGGATGGCAGCATAGACCACTACAAAACATGTGCAGTCGCACGCTATTATCAGGAAAAAAGTTGATGTGATCAGTGATGCTCCACCGCTAAGTGGATGTGACTGACATACCTGTGAAGATCGATGTAGCTATTGCTACCCGAAGAGCCCGGTTGGCCATGCACTTGTGATGAAGCCAAGTAAATCAAACTACTCCAACCCTTCTGTCCCCTCGCCAAGTTTCCTCTCCAAGCGACCTCGTCCTTATGAATGCACCGAGGGACGTTCGAGACTGGGGAGCGACCCTTTCTGCTCGAGGTCTCACGCACGAATGAAGTGGCCCGTGTGTCGGCGGCCTCCTATGTGGTCACAGTTTGTTATCTCAACAGGCGGCTGGATTCCCGCGAGGGTGTTTGCTCCGACGGTTATCGGGCCGGTCGCGTCGGTGAGGTCATTCCGTCGAGCACGTGACCCGGGTCGCGGGGAGCGGGGCGCTCCCCCGCTATCGCCGGCACACGCAGGATGCCGGTGGGGCAGGGCGGTCTTCATGTGTCGCTTTTACACGCATTTTCTTCTTTTTCAGAGATGGGGCAGGTTCATCTTGGCGGACTTCGTGAATGTCCCCGATATCGTGTAGTTTGATTGACTGCTCCGTTCGAACCTAATCGATTCTATCCATCCATTGTCGATAAACGCGCCTTATTTTCACCTCGGCTCCCATGTGTGCTCTCTACTCTGGGGGCATTCCACGTCAAGTGGGACAAAAAATGATCATTTTGAACCTCACCTCCTCCGATTTTTGCGAAACTTTGTGAAAATACTAATCTATATCTGAAAAGAAAGGAGACATATTTTTGTCAAGACATGACGTCACGTTTCCGAGATACACGTCATCAAACATTGACTCAGGCAAGGCACATTATCATCTTTAAAGCGTCATAACTATTGAAGTTATAGACATATCACCACGCGACAAAGTGTGAAATGGAGGGAATAGGTCAGGCTTTAATTTGAGGATAGCAATATTGACGTAATTAACTAATTAGTGAACTTAATTAAAATTCAAAAAATAAATTTTGATTTTCTGAAAAATGGGTACCCTTCGATTTTGCTGATTTTTACATATTTTATTCTCCTATACATCAGCTACATCATATAAAAAATCCAGAATGGGCCGACGTCTACGTAACTGTCTTTTGGACTTCGTAATGTCTGGCACTCGCGTGTTTCGTTTTAGCAACCAAGTAGAGGCGCTGCCTGGAGATGCTTCTTTCTACCCCAAACCAAAGCAAACCTAACCTGACCTGACGTTACCTGACCTAATCTAACACGGGTAAATATATACAGCCCTCATGGCAGTTGCCGACTGGCCAAATGCTACCTAGATACGAACATTAGCCCTCACGACAGTTGCCGGCTGGCCAGATGCTACTTAAAAAACAAATGCGTGTTAAACACTTCAGGCTGACCCGCTGCGAGCCAGCGACCTTTAGATTTCGAGGTGGGTACACTCGGCACACTAACTACTAAGCCACGAAGATAGCTGGTCATCGTAAGCCAGTTTTTAATGATGAAATTGGGCATTCTCCGGGCAGCGCCTCTCTTTGGTTGCAAAAAGAAAATACGCCTGACTCTCCCAGCGCTAGGGGAGAAAGGCCCGGTTTAGCCAAAAAAGGTATAAAAAATGAATTTGAATTGTACGTGGGGCGGTGGGGAACTTTATCGTGTGTCAATTTCATGGCCCTAGATCAATATATTCAAGATCAAATGAGGTTAAACGTGATCAAATTTGCTTTTGTGACTATTTTGCGTTTATACGCCCATAGCTCTAAGAGATACTGGCCGATTTTCCTATTTCTTCCTTTATACGACATTTGTAGTGTTATGAGAATCTCTAGTTAATCTTACCATAAATTTGGCAGTTAGTGGCTTGCTAAGAGTAAGATGTCGCCGGCAGAGGCGGGGATCGGCCGACGCGGGAAACGTCATAGTCACATATTGTGTTTGCACCCTAATAATTTAATTTTACCAGTTGATTTTCGTATTTATTTGAACATTAGATTGCCTGTGCATTTTTAGGTCTTCACACAAAATTTGACACGAATCCATCATAATCAGCGGTAAGAAGCGCGGTGCAAAGATGGAACCGTCCCGCGCCGGCACAGTCTACCATTCAGGCGGCAACGGCCGGCGCCGGCCGCCGAGCCGCTCCGGCAGGAATGTTTGACTTTACACCGCTATTACTAGACAAGTTGTGGACCGATTTACCTATTTCGTGCACGGGAGGATTTGCAATTCGATTCTGGACAGATACTGAAAGTTTGACATTAATATAATAATTATGGTGTGAGTTATTAGCGAAAAACAGGTGGGGTTGGCGAAATCCGCTCCCTTCCACTGCGCGTGAACGCTGCACTTCTTGTTGCTATAACATCCAAAGTTATCGTTGGCCCATTCTAATTTTCTCAGCACGTGTGCCTTACGTGTAGTGGAACACAATATCTAAATTTGAGCAAAATCGAAGGGTACCCATTTTTCACAAATTACATTTTAAAAAATTAATTCAAGATAAAATAAATTCAAAATCACCAAAAAATGTAAAAATTGTCAAATTTTACTAGCATAACTCTTTACGTACACGTTTCAGTTTGTTTGAAATTAATAGCTTCAAAAATGTTGAAGCTATAGATATTTCAAGATTGCAATACACGTCCAATTCAGCTCAAAAAGCAGAAGTTTAGCGACTTGTATCTCTGTACCCCGAGGGCATATGACAAAATCCTTTCACCCTCAGAGGTTTCACCCAATAGCCAATAAGTATACCAAGTTTGAACAAAATCGCAGAGGTGGCCGATTTTGGCTGTCCCGGTTGACATGGAATGCCCCTCTGTCGACTGTCAGTTCCTAATGATTTGACCAGGCTGGTCGATGGGCGGACGCTTGTGCAGAGGCAAGACACGTGCTGCCTCATTCTGACTTGTTCTGGTGGCAAATCTCGCATTCTGAGGACCTCTTCTGCCGGGAGAAACCCCGCTGCCGTTACCCCACTCCTGGTGTTCTATCAGCGGCTAGTCACTGTGCACCTCCTCATGCTCAATCGACCGTTCGTGAATTGACAAAGATGTTGGGTTATCAGTGGGCTGAGCATGACGCGCCACTCCACATCAAGTAGTCAGTGCACTGAGGGGCAGATAAACACTGCGGAAGGTGAAGATACGATGTCCTGTCTTGTCCTGCTTTGAAGATGCGATCCAACCTTGTCGGCCCATTCATGGCACTGCGCCAAGTACCTACTCGGGCATGTATGTCGAGTGCATTTATACGGCAGTCTATTACATGGCACATTTATTTCCGTAGAGGGTAAAAAATCACTGTGTCCATTCACGGTCGACGGTTAGGTATTGTATTTTCCGTATTGCTACATAATCATCGTAATGAACCGCTGGTGCCGCCGTTTGAGGAGTTTGCGATCAGTCAACCACGGCCGCAGACGCCACTAGTGGCACCTGGCTATCGCTATCACCGCTGGCTCCATTACTGAAAACCTATCCGTCCGTCGGTCCGCACACCCACACAGTAGCTGCAGCTGTCCGGGAACAGCCCGGCTGACCAGCTATCAGCCGACGTGTCCACACATGACACACACTTCATCCGAGCGGCCAGGTTTTCCGGCGCCGGACTGAGCGCGGCTCGCTCCCCACGGCAGAGTGGGCGCTGGGTATGCCATAGACGGCCTTGGGTATGCCAGTGATATGCCGCCCACAGGAACATGCAGTTCCTGTGAACACCTGCCGCAAACTAGGCTCAGTTTATACGAGTTTGTATCGAGTCAGTTTATATCGTAGTCACATACCTAAGTGTTAAAGCTTTCATCCCGAAGCCTAACTCTGAGAATTAGAATGGCATGATCTATTGTGTTTCACATTTTTCATTCTTTGACAGAGCGCGCCGATATAGCGTAGATACTAATCAACTGTGTAGTTAAGCATCTGCAAACCCAAATATTTTCAACATTATCTCTTGATTCTCGATTTATGGTTCTACTTCTTGCTCGCTTCCAACGCACCACTAGCTGTAGGTAGGTACGAAGGATATGGTAAGCAAAGTCGGCATATCTAACTTCCTATATCACTTTTATTTACTTCCTAGCGTTGCTCTTTTGCAGTGCCGATGTTCCACACGATGATTGCAGTGCCTATCATCGTGGGTACCGTCTATCAAAACGAAATGCACTGCTCAATACTTGCTGGTGTATATTAGAACGCATTGACAGCGGCTTAGATTCTGACATCATGGGACCATCACACTTATCACACATCACTCTTTATCATTTACCTGCGACGAATATTTAGTTATCGACTATAATAGCATAAAAATAATGATTTTGCAGCGTGCGCGATGCTGAACATTTTTACATGTTGAAGAGTAACCGTGAAGAACAGATGTAAAGGAATTACCTATAGTCTTGGTTCCTTATTGGATTTGGAAGCTCTGTGCCCGCTCGTTTGTGGCCTTCCTGCGACATATGTGATCCATCCACAAATGTAATTAGTCAACACAGGCTTGCTTGAGGTCTCGGAAGGAGGTTATGTCATTTCTCGCATGTTTTGCTGGATATTGATGCATTTTATCTCGTTGGACATTTATTATTACTTTGCAACATAAACTACGGCGTTGCCGATTTCTTAAGGTAATTCTATTGCAGCGAAACTTCGTTTTTTGAAGAGTGCTGCAGCTTTGATGTTTTGTGCGTTATATTTTGATTTCAGATGCTTTTTGAGCCTCATATTTCTATTTGATGCTTTCTTTCACTTACTTTGCTTCATGGAGTTAATTTGTTTTATGTCATACATCCCTCAAACAGGGGAAAATTGCCTGTTGCAGTGTTGCACCCCAGGCTCCAAATTAAAAAGAAGCCACACCATATCAATATTGTGCCGAATGACAAATCGAGCTAGAGAACTGGATGTATGATGACTAAATCCTAGAAAAGAACAAGTTATATCACATGTTTTTTCTTGATATGATGCGTTATAATTCCCCAGGCATTAATTATTATTTTGCAATATTAACTACAGCATCACATGATTGCATATGGTAGGCTAGGTTGGTGCCTAATTTTCTTGCAGCAAAGCTTGGTTTTATTAGTTTTAAGGTTTTGATGTTCTTTGTGCTTCATTTTGATCAATTTAATGCTTTTTGAGCATCATATTTCTATAGGAAGCTTTGTGTGCAACTTTTGTGCTTCATGTATTTGATATCACTTTTGTCATGCATCCGATTACAAATGTAAACAATTAACAATGGACTTTTGACAGTTAATTTTTGGATTCAGATCTGAATAAAATCACATTGTAATACATTTTGAAATGCATTTTGTTTAAATTGTAAACAAATTTAATTTTGAAAATAAAATATCATTT